GCCTCTGCTGAAAACCACCTGCTGGTGCTGGGAAACCAGGTGGTTTGTTGGTGTTGCTGCTCCAGGCGAAGTTGGGATGCTGGCGCCATCCTTCATTGTAGGTGGTGCTGTATGGGTCGAGGCGCCGAGCATTGGCGATGAAGGCCACCTGCTCTTGGGGAGTGGAGGACTCCCTCATAGATTGACAATCCTCCACCAGGTGATTTGGGCTCTCACACCACTGACATTGAGCTACTGGAGGCGTAGCTACACCTCGGCCCGGAAGGAGACTGTTGGGTTGCTTCAATGTCTGCACCAACTCAGCCACCTATTGCTCTAACCCGGACCTGGCCTCCACAGCGTGCACACCACGGTCCCGGGACTGTCTGCCTCTGCTGCTCTGCCCCCAGGAATGATCGCGGGCAGCCAAGGTACTAATCATCTGGTTCAGCTCGGGTGGAGTCTTAGTAAGGATATCCCCTCCTGGGCATAGAGACTCGATCACCCTCTGGCTGTCTGGGGTGAGGGCATTGTAGAAGTTCCCCACTGTGAATGCATCGCTGAAGCCATGATGGGGACACTGCCAGAAGTATCCCATGTACCACTCCCATGCATCACGAAGTGACTCATCTGGCTCTTGGCGGAAGTGAGTGATCTCCCGCTGAATCTCTGTAGTCTTCGATGCTGGATAGTACCGGTGCACGAACTTGTCAGCCAGATCGTCCCAAGAAGTGATGGACAATGGGGGCTGGGTCTCCAACCACCTCTTAGCATTCCCCGCCAGAGAATGCGGGAAGAGGTGAAGGCGGATTGCGTCATCCGGGACACCGTTCAGCTTGAACCCGTTCGTCAGCTGCAGAAAACGGGAAAGATGTACCCGGGCTTCCTCATCCTTCAAGCCATGGAACTGGATAGAAGATGTAATAAGTTGAATCCAGCATGGCTTGATCTCGAAGTTGTTTGCTGGAATCGGCGGATAGAGGATGACCGGGCGGATGTCAGCAATCCGCGGAGTGTAGTAATACTCCAAGGTGGGACCCGGTGGTGGTGGATGATGATGGACCCCAGCTTCCTGGGGATTGGGGTCGTTCCCCAGGAACTGGTTCTGCGGAAGTGGGTTCTGATCTCCTTCCATCTCGTACTCGTCCTCGGATTCGCTGCTCAATTGGCCGTCTCTGCGCTCCACCGTAGCCAGTCTAGCTCGCTGTTGTCTCCGAAGTTGTTTGCAGGTGCGCTCAATCTCAGGATTCAACGGCAGTAAACCTCCCGACTGGCTACGGGTCATGCACTATCTGCACACAATCAAGCAATGCAAACCCATGAAGGCACAAGTGGGAAGGAACAAACACTCAATGCAAAAATAAAAATGCTAAAGTAACAGAAATCACCTTTCTTCAACAACCTAGCCGTCCCCGGCAACGGCGCCAAAAACTTGACTCACTCCTACTGTCACTCTAGAAAATGGCCAAGTGTAACCACTTCCTAAAGCGTAGTATAGCGGGTTTGGGTTTTATTGTCAACCCGGGTCCTAGATGTGATGACTACTCAGTGAATTCGTATTATCTAGCGATGCAACATTAGTGAAGTTCTAAACTAACAAGCAAGCAAAGCGACTAAACGGTTGTTTTCGGGTTAAGAGAGGTCACCCGGATATGGTTCCCCCTAGTCTGCAGTTAAGCCGGATTGTAATTACCAAGTTCAATTTCTATGATAGTTATACTGCGGAAGGTTCTCAAACAGTCTGAAGTCTCGACTAAAGGTCTTCAGACCCTCTCAATCTGAGTCTCTAGCGGGCGACTAACCTCCACTGGAGTAAACAGATTGAGGCCCTATGAACAAAACCTCCACTACCGAATTGAATTCGGTACAGAATAGTGAATTGGCCCCTCGACTAAAGTCACCAATTCACTACCTTCGATTAAGGATACTCTATCAACCTAGGCAGATATTATCATTCTAGGTTAAAGCAGAAACAACAGGAATTTGATCAGGATTCATGCCATTCAATCATTCAAACCTCAATCGAATATAATCAAAATCATAGAATCAATACTTGGGTTCATACAATCAATCCTAACATACAGAATTAGGGTTTCCCACACCCAGATGAATGGGAGAACTACTCCATGGAGAGAGAAGCAAACGCAGAATCAGACGCGGAAATCATACTGTTAAGATGGATTTCTGCTCATGGACGTTGAATCGGCACTTCTCCAAGCTCAAGCCAAGCTCCAATGGTGTTGAAGATCGATCTAGGGCACTTGGAGACTCTTGTTCGTCGCTTTCTCTCTTTAGGAATCGCTCTGTCTCTCCAAAACTCGAATCCCCCTCTGTTTGGCTCGGAATCCGCTTAAAAACAAGAATTTCCCGACTCGCACGGCCAGGCCGCACGGTCGTGCATATCACCACTTTGGCCGTGCGGCTCAAAACGCGGCGCATCAATTAATCGACCTTCAGCCATCTCGCACGGCCAGGGTTGCACGTTGCACGGCCGTGCGAGTTTCAGGGGTTGCCCGTGCGTGGGCTCGGCAAAAAGCGCACGGCCTGGATTGCATGTTGCACGGCCGTGCGAGTTTCATGGTCTGCCCGTGCATGCTCTCGCAGAATTCCGCACGGCCATCTTGCTCACATGCACGGCCGTGCGAATCCCTGGTCTGGCCGTGCAGCCTCCTGAAACCTCGCCATTCGTCCGAACTTCGTCCAACCGACCCCAGACTCGCTCCCAAGCCTTCATTCCCGTACTAGGACCTGAAATATCACAATCAAGCACAACCTAGCGTGAAATCGGCCTAAAACACGAGAATCAATACCTCAAACGGTGTAAGAACGGGGGCAAAAACATGTGTAAATAATGGTCTATCAATTGTCCTAATATAAGACATAAGTTTAGTGGGTATGGTGCTAAGTAGGGCTGTTAATGAACCAAGCCGCTCATGAACGGCTCGACGTCCGACTCGAGAAGAACTCGTTCAAAACTCGATTCGTCTTAATCAAGTCGGCTCGTGAACAAGCTCGTTAACTAAACGAGCCGAACTCGAGCCATACCATGTTCAGCTCGAAAGCTCGCGAACAAGCTCATTTAACGTTTTGCCAAAAGAAAAGATTAAAATTCATGGATTTTATGTCTTGAAATTGGAATAAATATTGTGTTTTGTTTTGCTAGACTTTGCTATAGGTTTGAATGCAATTTTTTGCCCAGTTCTAGGTTAATATTGAGCTATTATGAACATTTTATGAGCTTAATTTGATTTTGGGCTCGTTAAGCTTATTTGACGAGCCGAGCTCGACCTTTCATTTTCATAAACGAGTCGAGCTCGAGCTTGCATATTAAAGCTCCTGACGAACACGAGCCGAGCTCGAGCTTGGAAATATATTAACGAGTCGAGCCCGAATTATGACAAAACTCGGCTCGGCTCGGATCATTAACAACCCTAGTGCTAAGTATTAATATGAAGTTAGATATAAAATTGGTGTGAGTGGCCCCTTGCATATACAACCATACATAAAGATTTGAGTAAGCATAAAGAACTATGAAAGTCAAGAGGGATCCAAGTTAGAGAACATATATAGGCAATGGTAGACTTGATAAACACTCAAACAATATGGTTAAGGAATATCTACATTTGCATATGTTTCTATCTCGATGAAGTTACCTTGTGCAGTAAGTTATGGTGGTTTAATATTATGCAATAAGCTTGGTCGTTGTTGTTTCCTAAGATAGGGGAGATTAAATACAAAGGTTTTGAGTGCGTTACTATCTTTGAATACTATTAGTATCTTAAAACATGTGAAAGGACCTCATCATCTAAGGTTGCATCATAAGACCAAATATGAAAATATACATGTTATCAAGGAACAATAATAGGATGAGCAAACACAAAGGTCATGCCTAGTTAGGCAACGCCAGACTATGGCACCTAATATTGGTTCTCTTAATACGGGAAAATGAGATCCCACGAGTTGTGACATTTGTAATTGCGTAAGTAGTAATACATTGCTCAATACGTTAGAAGTTTATAGATAAAACAAATAAAGTATTCTTTTCGGGTCATCTTGTGATGTTACATACGAGAAATCGAAAATAGTTCTTCAATGGCTAACTAATGATTGATTACTCACAACCACTTGAATATCGAACCAAACAATTAGTTTGAGTTCATGTGGAGGTGGTGACAACGACACTCATTAAAGGTTCAAAAACCCGATAACTGTCTGTCCCATAAAATAAATTTAATGAAGGGTCTGAAAAATGATTATTAATTTAAAATAAGTAGAATGAAGTAAGACTTACAACTACCAATGATAAAAACATAAATGTAAAAGAAAATTACATATATGCATTATGCTGTTTTTCCCCCCTAATGACCAACATAAAACAAATTGTGAATTCATGGTGGAATCCTGAATCCACCTATCATTTGAAAGCAGAGAATAAAAATGCTGGGGTAAATGATACATTTGGTCACTGAGATTACTAAATCGTGTCATATTTAGTCACTAGAAAAAATTAATATCAATTTTGGTCACTCGAATTACTGACACAGGTCACATTTGGTCACTCTTCTGTAGCCTCTGTCCAACTCCGGTCACTCGAATTATTGAAAAATGTCACATTTAGTCACTCGTATTACTGAAACATGTCACATTTAGTCACTCTCCCAAAAGTTTCCGTCCAACTACATTAATGGAGTTGGACGGAAACTGACGGGAGAGTGACTAAATTTGACCAATTTCGGTAATTCTAGTGACCAAAATTGATAATCTCAGTGACCAAATGTGTCATTTACCAAAAAATGCTGGGAAGACAAAAAGAAATTTTATACAAAGAAAAACAACTGAAGAAGTAGTCCACTCTCACGTGCACATCACGTGATCCAGGGGGCGAACCTCGCAAAGACGCAAGAAGGAAAGAGATCCCACAATCTCCACCTCACGACAAACAAATCTCAGCCGTCAATTTCTGTCACACCCGATCTCCACCGTTCAAACCGCATACTCTTTCACATATTCCCTCCACAGCATCTGCAGTATCTCTCTCAGTTAATAATTCTTTCCCCTTCTTCTCCCTCTCAGTATCCTCCTCTTCCTCGCGCCTCCAGAAACCCTTTCCCTCCTCTTCCATCCGCCAAATCCCCCACAAACCCACTCCCAAAACCCGCCTCCTGACCCAGAGAGACCCTTCGCGCGATCTCGAATTCGAAGTTTCCCTCACTCGGAAGGTTGCAGTTCTACCCATGGATTCAGATCAGGGGAAGCTTTTCATTGGTGGGATTTCATGGGAGACGTCGGAGGACAAGCTCAAGGACCACTTCGGTCAATACGGCGACGTCCTGCAGACCGCCGTCATGCGAGACAAAACCACCGGCAGGCCGAGAGGTTTTGGGTTTGTCGTGTTCGCTGAACCTTCCGTTCTCGATAGGGTTCTTCAGGATCAGCACACCATTGATGGTAGAACGGTGAGTCATGAACAATAAAAAGAAAAACAACCCCTCTCCAGGAAGAGAAAGAAAGTTCAGTTCTTGTTTCTTGTATTGAATTAAATTGGTTAATGGTGGGTGGGTTTCTGTTACTGTTGTTTTGGGGGGGTTTTGTTGGTGTTGATTTTGGGTGGATGTTTCCGTTATGTTTTAGTTTGCATACTAGTTGGAGAGCTGTATTGCTCTGAATTCTTTGCTTGGTTGCTTATATGTGATGGTGTGCCATGGCGCCGTCCGACCTAGAGGTTTGATGCTTCGGTTGTTGGCCGCTCATTTGGGGTTGAAATTGTGTAGCTTTGTGTCTATACCATTGCTTACACCTCAACTAAGTCCCTGTTTCGTTGTGTAACTTGTGGATATCTCTACGTTGAGTAATGGATGTGTCTGATTTTTTTTTTTAAATTCTTTCTGTTCGATTTTATGTAATTTTTACCCTTCAAATATCTTGCTTTGGCCATTAGGTTGAGGCAAAAAGGGCATTGTCAAGAGAGGAGCAGCAAACCAATGTCAAAACTGGTAATTCTAACTCTGCTAGAAGCACCGGTGGTGGTGGTGCAAGTGTTAGGACTAAAAAGATTTTTGTCGGTGGATTGCCTCCCTCATTGACCGAAGACGGCTTCCGCCAATATTTCGAATCTTATGGCCAAGTTACTGATGTAGTAATCATGTATGACCAAAACACGCAGCGGCCCCGTGGGTTTGGATTTATTTCCTTTGAATCTGAGGATTCGGTGGATCGAGTGTTGCACAAAACATTTCATGATTTGAACGGGAAGCAAGTAGAAGTGAAGCGGGCTCTTCCTAAAGATGCCAATCCTGGTGGAGGCAGTCGCTCCTCTATGGGCGGTAATGGTGGTGGTTATCAAAGCTATGGCGCTTCTGGTGGGAGTGCAGTAGGCTCATATGATGGTAGAATGGATTCAATGAGGTATATGCAGCCACAGGCAGCTGGAGGCGGATTTCCTCCTTATGGATCATCTGGCTACAGTGGACCTGGATATGGTTACAGTGCTGCTGCAAGCAATGGAGTTGGATATGGTGGCTATGGAGCTTATGGTGGTGCTATTGCAGGGTATGGAGCTCCTGCAGGCGCACCTTATGGAAACCCCAATGTACCAAATGCTGGTTATGGTAGTGGTCCACCTGGTGCTCCTCGAAGTTCTTGGAATAGTCAAGCTACCCCTGGTTATGGTGCAATGGGCTATGGAGGTGCTGCTGCTAGTGGTGGCCCAGGGTCGACTCCAACAGGCCAAACACCTACTGGACCGGGCGGGTATAATCAAGCATATGGATATGGTAGCTATGGGGCAAATGATGGGTCTTATGGGAATCCAGCTGGTTATGGTGCTGTTGGAGGAAGGTCAGGTGGTACACCAAATAGTACTCCTGGAGAACTACAGGGTAATGGTGGAGGCGGCTATGGGGGCGGTGGTTATGGTGATGCAAATGGGAGTGCAGTATATGGTAATGCAGCATGGAGTTCCGAGTCCTCACAAGGTTCTGGGAATTATGGATCACAAGCTAATGGTGGTGCTCATAGTAGTCAGCTTGCTTATGGTGGTGGTGGATATGGAAGTGCTCAGGCTCGACAAGCTCAGCAACATTAAATTTCGTGGACCGATCTCCAACATCTAATGCTGTGTGTGTTCCTGATGGGATGATGCTGGCTCAAAGTTGGGTAGATATTCACTCTGGGGGCGCCGGTTGGATTGCTCAATTCCCAGTAGTTTGCACTACCTATTTTGCTAGCAGTACATCTAATAAGTAGTTTTGTTATGACATTTTCGGATGCCCTTAATATTTTGTTTACTGAGTGTAGCTTTAATTTGGCTTTCTTATATCATTTGTCTGCTATATTTGCTGTGGATTTTTCACCATCAACCGTAGTGTTTGATTTAGTGTGCATGCAACCCGTCTTCCTCTGGTACATCATTAACTCACTATCATTTTTGTGACTTCTAACTAGCAGTTGCCATGAAACCTTTGCAAAACTCAAGGTTAGATAGGCTTGATGTAAATTGAGATAAGGGGATATAGAGATGAGTAGAAGTCCATCCTTTGATTCTGTGATAGCAGTGAAGCAAATAGATAGTTGGGTAGAGATAATGATAGCTAGCGGTAGTTCTCACTTTGAGGATGGCATAATCATTTTCTCCCCCGCTCTATTTGTTGCACTTTGTGTTTGTACAGGAGGAGATGCTCGAGTTCAAAAGGTGTGAGTTAGTTGGAGATCCCCCCTAGCAACAGAGTGAATGGAATTTGAGAGGACTTGATTGGTTGGGTTTGTGAACTCAATTCCTTGATGCAGATTCCTGGCATCTCTGTTGGGCTGATGGATATTTGTGAGGCAGACAGAAAGATTGTGGTACGTTGGCTTACATATAGCAGTGCTTTTGTCTGAAGCTCTTGCAGTCATTCTTTAGGCTATACATTCATTAGTGAGGTAATTGTTCTGAGAGGTACTAGAAGTAGTTGGTTGCTAATTTACTATTCGAAGATTTGGATTGAAATCAGTGAAAGCTTTTTGATGGTTCTGGGAAGTTTTTATTCTTGACTCACCGAATAGTAGGTCGAATGCTAGTATAGATAGTCTTACTGGTCTTTTATCGGTTGTGATTTGCTGACCCTGAGGGGCAATCTATCTAACCAATCGTCTTCCTAGCAACATTTATTGGCAATGGGCGTCTTTGTGGTCCTGGTCGATTCTGTTTTCGTCTGAATGTTTGTGTTTTGGGTATAAGATGTATGCAGTATTAGTGTGTTCGTATCGTTTATGCTTGCGCTTAGCATGTCGCACAAAGACTGGGTTTCTAGGAAGCGAGGGGTTGATAGTTAGATAGCTAGAGTTGCCATACTGACGAGAGATTTATGGCAAATGCAATGTGCCAAACGTTAGAGGATCTCAGTTCATTTTCTGAACAATCGATTGTTGAGGCAAAGAATACATTTTGGAGAAGCATTTGAAAGTTATTAACACCATGTAAAAGGGTATGGAATGGAGATTGTAGTCCAAAAATAGAAACATGGGTAGCCTTCACACTTGGGGGAAGAAATGGTATAATTTCAGTAGGCAGAAGCAAAACCTTTGTAAGGGTTGCCTAGTGCTGGAACATTCCCAGGACGTGAAAACACAACCTGCAATGAAAAACCCCAAACATTGGATTCCATCTTGATGCAGAGTGTTTGCATTCATCGTGTGATGAAAGGAAATTGATTCAAGTTTACCTGATAATTGCCAAGAGTGTGAGTCTTGAACCCAGCAGCGCAGTAATCGAAGTAGTACTCCCAGGTTCTGATAAACTTTTCGTCGAACCCCAACCCCTGAATTTTGCTGGCAACAGGGAATTCAAGTAGATCAGAATCAGAATGAAGCTAGTATAGGGAAACAGAGTCACGAGAGAATTGGGTTTAAGTCTTTACTATCTGTTCTCCAAGAAATTTTTTCTCCAGCATCTCAGGGTTTTGTAGTAATGGATTCCTATGTTCTCGACCTGCTCCACACTTTTTCAACATGGAAAAACTACCAAAGATTCAGTTTCTGGACAGAACATTGATGTATCAGTAAGCATGATGACAATCACAAAGCAACATACCAGAGCCTTGATGCAGCAGCCATGGCAGTTGTTATCCTGGCCAATGAAGGCAAGCATCCTCCGGGGAATATGTACTCTTTTATGAAATCCGAACTTCTCCTGTACTCGTCGTATCTTTCTTCTGGTATTGAAATAAACTAGAAAGAAAGAACAACAAACACAGAAGATGAGCAACATATCCCAACCCTTGTCATGAACATAATTTTGTTTTAGCTTCTCCATTTTGGCGATTTATTACCTGAAGAACAAGAAGACCATCTTCTGCCAGCGCTGATTCGCAACAACCGAAGAATTCTTCCATGAATTCATGCCCTACAGCTTCAATCATCTCACTGACAAGAAATAGGTAATCTCAAAAGTTAGTAGCTTTGGGAATAGGGCATGTTTGATATCATTACAAGAAAAGAAGTAAAGTGACAACTCTAACCAGGATATGATCCTGTCAAACTTATAGTGCTTGGGAAGTTGGCGATAGTCACAGAGAAGAAACTTGATTCGGTCCTGATCAGACATGTTTTGATTAGAAGATAAACAAATGAGCGAAAACCCCGAAATGAAAGCGTCCCAGAAATGTTGCAGAGAGGTTTTCCAGAGTTTTTCCATACCTGAAGTCCAGCTTTCTTTACTGTCATCTCTGCATATTTTAGTTGCTCTTCAGACAAAGTGATACCTGTGTACTTGCACCCAGTTCTTCTCACAACTTCCATGGCTAATGTTCCCCACCCACAACCTATCTCCAGAACTTCCTGTCCTTTGTTGATTTTCGCCTAAAAAAATTCATCAAATGTTACGAGACTCGACCTCCTGAGGAACTTTTCAGATATTAGAGTGGTCAAATGCCGCAGCTCACTTTTTCAATCAGCAGCGAAATCTTCCTCATTTGTGCTGCTCTCAGGTCCTCTTCTTCCGACTGTTAACACAATTCACCGACACAAACAAAATGCGTCACTACTATCGAATCATCAATAGATTTCATTAAATGCTTCAGATTATGAGAGGTTTCAGGATTTGAGACCTTGAACACAGCGCAGGAGTAAGTCATTGTGTCATCCAAGAACAAGCTGAAGAGGTCATTACTCTGGATAGAACAGTAACATGAAATTGTCAGCCCTTTCTTCTTGGAGATGCTAAGGAAAGATTTGAAACAAGCCAATGGAATCTGGGAATATTTACCAAGTCATAATGACGAGAGATGTTCCTGCGAGCTTGTGTTAGTGTGTTCTGCCGCGAAACATGGTGAAGGAAGAACTTTGCTGATGCAATGCTGGCTGTTGAAAGCATTGGAGTCCACCATCCTCTGGAACCCATGTAACAGAAGGAGATGTTGGACTAGTTCAGTAAGTAGGATCTAATAAAACTGTCTGCAATTCGCTTAATCCAACCAGAACAAACCTTCTCTTGCTCAATTCAGTGACATTTCTACCGGAATCTCTATTCGAAATCAGAACCTGAAGAACAATGTGTCACACAAAAAGAGCTTTCACACAAAGACACAGATGAATAATATCTCAGATGCAAGCAAGACTTCAACAAATCCTCTATCTCACCAGGAAGAAATTCAGAAGCCCTTCATCCTTATCAACAAAAGAGAAATCGCCATTAATATATGCATCCGCCAAGCCTAAATCAGCCTGTGTCATTATCTGAAGAACACACAAACAACCTTGGACAAATCAGGCTTCCATTTGGGTGAGATACCATAATAAAGAAGAAAGTAAAAGACCTTCCAGTAGAACTGTGGGGAGTGGATCCGCAGAACAACTTTTGTGAAGCATTTTTTGCCAGTTCCTTCAAAGGTGAACATCGTGCCTCCTTCCTCCAACAACCTAGTATTTTCAAAGACCATAAAATGCAGTCATGCAAAAACTGGTTAGGAATTCAAAAACTCTGAACTGATAGTTTCAAGAGAAAGTTTATGATAAGAAGGGGAGGAACCCACATTAAACAACCAGAAGAGATGTAATTTCCAAGAAATCTAGCAACAAAGAGTCGCCCGGCAGTTTCTGACACTGAAGGAACCATGTGTTTCGGGTTGCTGAGAAGTTCACACTTCTTTCTCCCAAGCAAACCATTTGCAGCAACCAAACCAGACTGCAACCACATTATGCAACACTTAGTAACTGAATCATTCATGGGCAGGGATAGGGGGAAAAAAACAAAGAAGGAAAGCTAGAACTACCTTCAACCCATCTTCATGGAAGCCGTAACCTGAAAGATGAGACGAAAATCATAAGAAACTTCTCAAGGCTGAATCAAAAGTACAGAAAGGATTGGAAAGGTCACATATAAGACAGTCCTTTACCCAAGTATGCTCCACAAAACCAGATCCCTCTCCTGCCTTGAATATTGGTAAGCTCAAGTGCAGCTTTTGAAGCAGCAACTGAAGGGACTGGATGGCTGGTTCTCCACTTCAGTAGGGTTTGTTCTGGTGGGTTATATGGATTCAGTGTCACCAAGAAAGGTTGACTTGTTTCACCAAGATTCTGCCAAGAGTTGAAGACTGACAATTACCACAGCTAGCCAAAGAAAGCGTGCATATACATAGTTTTTACTAAACAGGCCAAGTGATCAGTGTTCAAACCTGAAGGACATTGAGCCAGTAAGTGAGGGAGACATCGGTGTCCGTACTCCCCAAGAAATTCCAAGCACTCCATGCTGCAGGATTCCTCGGCATGAATTTGGTGTCGCGGTGAAGGTAGATATCACTGTCCAAATTGAGAAACGTCAGTTTTGCGCTTGAAATGTCGAGAAACACAATCAAATATGCTGAGGCAAGCACCTTGACATGTACTGGAAAGCGCCGAGAACTCGCGCCTCGTCCGATGTTACTTGCTCCCCAAGTATCTTCAGTGCATCAGGAGCATGAACAGCCACTATGCACCTATCGAACAGCTCTCGAGAACCATCTTTACACACTACTGTGCAACCTGGCTCAAACAGGATTCAAAAACAGATCTATAAGAGCAATGATGGTTCATTTTCTTCTGCATCAAACTGACATGTCATCATGGTGCTTAGGGCTTTACCCTCATTAGTAGTGGAAATAGACACCACCTCTGAACTAGTCCTTATTTGGCAACCGTATTGTTCCAGCTGCTCCCTGACCTGGTCGACGATTTAAGGTTTAGGGTTTAGGAGAGATTCTGCGAATGCGATTTGGAAACGATGTAAGGAGCCCATCAGATGGAGATGAACTCACCTTGTTGACATAGGAATGTGACCTCCTTTTAACAGTGAGCCACTGTGGCCTGCCAAAGAGCTGCAGAGACAAGCCAAAAACCCTTCATTTTAGCAGGAAAGAAAAAACAGCAGAGAGGGAGTGGTTGCTTGCATAGAAAGAAAACAGAATGTACCTGAAGCAGATGGTGATTACGGCAAAAAGAGAGCACCGAGTAAGCTGAGAAATTCAATACTCCTTCCGAGGGGCAAGACCATATTGAGCCACACATTGGAACCTTTGAGCAAAGTTTGAAAATTTATGCTAAATCAACACCAGAAAAAACCAAAAAAAAGCACCAATCTTGATTAATTACAAACAGAAACATTGAATGACCCAACAATCTCACAAGATAAGCCTTCTGAAACATCTCAGAGTAACCCCTGGAGTGGATGAACTGCCCCAATGTCTCGCTACGATCCTCGTACGGGTTGTCCTCGAGCTGCTCGATGTAACTGCACCAATGTAAAGAAGGCAGAGACCATAATGAGAAGTGGATTAACAAAAGAACAGAAGAAAGAAAGTTCCTTTTTTCCCCATTTCTTCTTATGTTACCTAAGAACATCGTCTTTGAATCTGACGATGTCTCGAATCATTTGCCAGAAGTATGGATTGACAGCATTCTTCTTCTGTGAGAACAATCCCGAGAGGCCGTTTCTGCTGCCCCATTCACAGCCTTTGCCTTGGTCCAAGCTAACAGAGAAGGACATGTCTGATAGCTCCATGTCAACTCCAAGGCTCTCAAACATCTCCATCATGTTTGGGTATGTCACCTATATCAAGCCCCCAACAGTTTGAGGAACAAACAGATAAGATGAGCTAGTGTTTGAAAACATTGTTGCTTGTCACATAAATGAAAGAAGAAAAATTCTAAACTAGACTCCAAGAAGTTGGCTTAATGGTAATGTGGGGAGAAGATTCAGTTCACTACTAGGAAAACAAAAAATTAATAATCGATGGAAAAAACGCCTAAAGTATTATAGAAAAAATGGAGTCGAGAAGGTGATGTCGACGGCGTTAATAATCAATGTTTAAGCATCCTTATAAAGAAGATTCATATCATGTCGAAATACATTAAGTCTTGAGTGTGGGATGTTTGTAAAGAAGCGTGTTGTAAGCATAGACCAGTCATGTGCCTTGGATTACTTTCGAGAATCACAAGTTTACAAAAGTCATGGATTGTGATTGCTCTTTGGTCGACGATGGTGAAGAAAAGGACAGAAGGTCAGGAGATGGCGTCATTTTGTGAAGATTAGCCATAAATTCTTTTTAATCCTTATATATGTTAGTGCATTAAGCACACCTCACTTTGATTAATCACGCACCTCATGTCAATTAATTGTACTTAGCTCTGCCTAAACACCACCCAAGTGTTATATATGGACACCAAATTGTTGCATAGAGTCTAGACAAGATGTTTTGTCGTTATCTAGCGCCAAGGCGCGCCTAAACATATGCTAAAATACGCCTTCTTAAACCCTGATGACGAAGGCGACAAGTTGAAGGTAGGCTAAACGTATGAAGAATAAGAATCTTGCCGGCCTTAGAATGAAGAAATGGATGCATACGAAACCATACAACAATTAAGTTCAACATTTGACAACGACAGCTCAACAGAATGAATGGAGATAAGTTGGTTTACCTCAGAGGTATCCAATTTTAAAAAAAATCGACCTTTTTTCTTTCAATATATTTCTATTCAGTCAATTTTAGTTTTTTTACATAAATATTTTTCTCCCTTTGATGATTAGTTTAGCGAACTTTTTTTTCCCCTCCTTCATTCAATCGATTTTTCATCCTTTTATTCCATCTAGTTGTTTCAACATATGTTTCTTCCTTTTTTTTATTTCACCGTTTCTCTGCACTAATTTCTTCCCCTATCCGATGATTTGCTTCATCCTTTTCCAAATTATCTTTTACTCATTCTATCATTTTCTCCAGTTCTTTTTTTTATTATGCCATTTCTAAACATGTTTCTCCCCCTTCTCAAGATTTTCTTGGCCGGCTTTTTTTTTATCATTGAGTTCCTTTTTTATTTCATCGATTCTACATCAATTTCTTCCATTGCATATGATTTATCTGATGACTGGCCAAGATTTTTTTCCCATCACACCATTTTTATAAATCCATAATATATTAGGTTGTTGTTTGATATAACGAATAAATGTTTTTTTTTCAAAGTACTAATATGAAAAAATATTCATAATCCACTTATAAAAAACATTTCGACTTTCGATCTTCAAATCCTGACTCCACCCCCAGTACCCGCCGCAGAACGCGAGCCAATTATCTAGTATAATATAGTGCGGAATCCAAAATCTAGAGGAAGGTCAATTCTCACCGGTGAATCTTCCCGCTTAAATCATGAGATGTAAATATAGTATAATTATGCACATCATTAAAAATCGTACACTAGCATCATCCCACTAAGGGTTATCATACTCCTAAATTCACTAGTAATATTACATGTTTACTATTACATAAACTAGAGTTCATATTTTCGTCGTAAATCCTTTTTTTTTTAACACAAACATACTTTTAGTGTATGTAATTATCACGATTTGACTTTCGATGTATAGTTCGAGATTATATATAGTATTATACTAATTCAATTACATGAGTGATACTGTATCATTCTGTAAATGGTATGAAATTTTATCACTCTCGTACCGTATCTTCGTACGAGAGTGATAAGATTTCGTATCGTAAAAATAATGCACCAAAAATTTGTAGGGACTATGAGAGGATGCAGCTGATCCGCTTCCAGCTACCGCATTCCATTCATTTCATGTGTTGTACTAAAAGCTGCGACAGCCACTCCTGCCTGCCCACCAAAATTGATAATAAACCTCACAAGATCTAACAAACACCCTCGGCCCCACTTGTGTCCTTCTTTCTTATCTTCATTTTTCATGATTCAATAATAAAATAATAATAATAATAATAATATTTGACAAACTAATTATTATTGACTATTGAGTAACTAATTAAGTTGTAGAAAGCTAATTAAGTAACTAATCAAGTTTGTGTCCATGGATAGTGAGATAGAGAATTAGAGAGACTCGGAGAAGAGAACTGAGGAAGGTTGAGAATATAATGTGTTTGGATAGAGAAAAATTCTGAATTAATTAGAATGACTAAAAGACGTACAAATAAATAGGAAATCACTCTGATAATTAACCTAAACCTAACTGGCTTTGCTTCTCTCCAAACTACTGCCGCCACCTAACAACAATAACAATAACATAGTACTTTGTCACACAAGAAGAGGACTTAATCGATATTCGATAATATAAAGAAATACAACGATAAGTAAGAAAGTAAAAAAATAGGGATTTACATGGTTCACTAACATAATGTTTGTCAGCTAGTGCACGGGTGTGAGAGATTTAGTTTTACTATACTTGAGAATATTATAAAAGAGTATGAGAAGTACTTATAGTACTTCTCAAACAGTTTAATGCTAATCCAATACGATAAAAAAATAAGGTTACGAACCGGGTCCAACACAAATAACCCATGATAAATACTTCTCCAATAACCTAACCCTAATCCAATATGATAAAGAATAAAGTTACCTAACAAGTTCAACACAGATCATCCATTACTTTCAATGGACGACAGATCATCCGATTCAAGTAATATCAACATACTTCTAGATTCTATTCATGAAGCATCTTTCTTTTCCTTGGATTTTTCAAAATTCTTCTTAGAATGAGACAACGAGGCTAGGGTATCCTTATCCCATATTCCCATTTCATACGTATTATATATATGTGCACTATTTAAAGAGTTGTTTGATTTTAGTTTTCGTTTTCCCGCCAAGGAAAATTTTATGGGATCAAAATGGCATGGGTCGGTCACCTCTCTAATCTGATTGATTGATATATGATTGAATCAAAATAAATAATAAATTCTTCCAGAATTCTGCAGACGCAAAATTAAACCGACATGCAGCAAGCTAGCAACACAACAAACCCTTCCAGGCCCCGCTAGATTCCGATTCTAATATCTCATCAAAACTTGACAAATTAATAATTATTATATATATATATACACACACTAGGTCAAGGAGATGACAACCCATTTTCACATATTTCATTCCCATTTTTTTATGGTAAATTTCATTCCTATTTTTATATATTTTTATCGAGAAGAAGAAGAAGAAAAAAAAATGTAATAGAATCAAATAAGGGGATGGGTTTGTTGGTGCAAATCCAAAATGAACAAGATACTTAAATGTTGAGAGTGGAAGTTTTTAGCCGACTATTTGATTGATAGTGCTAATGATTAGCTATATTTACGAATTAGAATAATATTTTTGTTTAGTTGCCTAATCAAATTAAATGAACCTCATTATATAAAAAAAATAAACTTCAAGACAAGACTGCTAAAATCTCATCCCAAGTCGTAACTGAACTGAATCACGTAAAACCTAAGAGCATGTGAACGGGATTGGTCCACGTGTAGCTTTTGCAATCGCTAAAACCCTCCCCACATCAAATTCAGCAAAAACAAAACAATATTATTAAAAAAAGTTCGAAATCACAAGCAGGTCCCTGATTTTAATGGAATCTACTATTCAGCCCCTAATTAAATTGTGAGAAGACGATCTGATCTCTGTCTGAGTAGGCCTTTTTTTTCACTTTTTACTAATATTGAATTGACAACCAATTTGATGCACTGTACGTTGATTCGTTGCACTTTTTAGTATATGATGTTTATCTATTTTATTATTTTACCTTATTTGATTTTACTATACACGTACATTCCTCCGTGTCCAGATTATGTTTGATTTCTTATCAAGTGAAAAAAGAGAATAAAGAATTTAATCATGAAACATATTGACATAAAGAGAAATAATAGAACACAAACACATTACGTTATAAACTGCTATGTTATATGGTCATTTTCTAATGTACACTTTAGATAATAATAAATTCATAATCATTACACATCGAAATTTCTTTTATCCCCAAATTGGGTAAAACCTACCCATTTGGAATGTTTTCCAATTTAACTTCATATCATTGGATAGTAAAACTTGACAAAAATTTAGAACAGTTTCGTCTTTTTCATCCTCATTCAATGGGCTGCACGAGGACGCACATGTACATCATGAAAACTTCATATACGAATTAGTTAGTTTTCCTAAATTCTCATTCCCAAAACGAGAAACCCCCCAAAGGCCCAAACGGTAAAAAATGTTATAAACGGAAAGAAAACAGCAAATATAGAGAAAGAAAGATATAATATCTGTAATCAGGAGGATAAGGGGCAAGAGGTAGTGAAGGCTCGCAGAGCCATTCTGAAGCACAGTGACAGAGCGCTCCATCTTAAACCCACAGCACGGAATCCATGGCGAAGTAGAAAAAAAATGAAAGATTGATTAATGAAGTAAAATTCAAGAGAACGAAAACTCACCCGGTTGAAAACCATGAAGCCAAGGTCCAAATCCACGCCATCGAAATTGACAGTTTTGGCATGTCCTCCCAGCCACTCTTCCTTCTCGTACACAACCACCTCCGCCGCCGCCGCCGCTTTCGCGACCACGGTGGCCGCGCCCAGCCCGCTTATCCCGCCGCCCACCACCGCCACCCTCATTTTCCAGCCGCTACCACTAATATTACCTGCATTGCAACTTTTTTTTAACATTTCACAGAAGAAACCAACCAACCAAATGAAATACAGTAGAGAAACAGAGCAACCGCGGTGGAACAGAGTCACTCACCCTGAATTAGAACTGGGTTTTGGTTCAATTTGTCGTACTCTGTTTTTTTTTTTAGGAGTGGAAGGGATGCAGGGGAGGCTGAAAAACAGGGGAAGGAGAGAGAGAGAGAGAGAGGTGGAAAGTGGAGTGTGGGGAGGAAAGCGGATGAGGGTTTAAATAGTGGAAGTAATTTGGGGGAGGAAAGGCGGCATTATTGTTATTATTATTGTACGTATAATATAGATTATATAGGCGTAGAGTCGATTAGCGGGTAATGGATTCTCTTGCTCTTCGCAAATGGTACAAAAACAGGGGAAGAGATAAAAATGGACAGCGGAGGGACGAGGCAGAGAGAGGATGAACCGAGAAGAAGGCTCAATTGGGAAGTCCGGAAATTCCTTCCTCAGTCAAACGGCAATTAAAATGGTTTACCTTAATCGACCCTGCCAAAATTGTTTTTCGCTCATATGCTTCTATGGGTTTTCTTCTTGTTTTTTCTTAGATAATTAGCATAAACGGCAGCGAGGATATAAAAAGGTACCGTACCGGCAGTTCGATCAGGACAACCTCATATTGAAAGTGAAATTGGTAGGCGGTATGAAGCGAATGAATCACGTTTAAACAACAGTTTCAGCATGAAATACTTTACCGCTGACTTTTCCGGTATGGTTTTTTCAATTCTTGATTGAAACAACAGAGAATTGTCATTGATATTATTAGAGCTTGGATTTACGACGACGATAACAACAACACGATTGTTAGATGGCTGCTGAGATTATGCGCAAAATTTAGTTGATCATTTGACGGACGGAATTGTATGAGAAATTAGATTATGTCTATGATATAAACTCATTTGTATGACTATTGGAGAAACTTGCATGGGAAATATAAAAAATATTTACGAAGGTTGTGGCACTTTATTTGTCACAAATATGGTAAGAAATCTCAGCCCTACGTCAAAAGTTTGAACTATAATATAATTTCTTAGATTGCATATTAAAGAATGAATGGGTCACTGTAAAAAAAAGAATGAAGGGGGTAAGTGTAACATTTCAATCCGCAAGAGTGACACTTTTCAAAAAAGGCTTGCGGGATGGAAGCAACATACTATGTCCAAAGCGATCATAAACACCTTAATTACGATTTGTTTTTATCTTGCATGCAGTATATTATATGTCATGTTTCACATTTATTATTGACCTATGCAAAAGACTTAATAGACTACTTGCCAAGTTCTGGTGGGGAGCTATGAGGCACTCCAACCACTCAGGTGCTCATTGGATTGCTTCGAAGGATATTTGTCAAAGCAAACAACGAGGAGGTCTCGGATGTAGAGACTTTAGGATCTTCAACCAAGCACTATTAGCAAAACAATGTTGGAGAATATGAAGGGAAAAAGTTAGATTATCTTGTGGCTAAAATTTACAAAGGTCGATACCACGCACAAACATCAATATTTGATGTCATGATAGGAACAAACTCTTCTTGGGTCTCCGTTGGCAGATAGGAAATGGAGAGAGTGTCCATTCACTATCAGACTTTATGGTTGCCTTCATCAACCCTTCACACCCTAATATAAAAATGCAGCTATTATTGTGGAGCCTATCTTGGTATCCTCTTTGATTAGCAAAAAATCTAAGCAATGGAGGATGAGTTTGATTAGGGAAACTTTCTCCCCTAAATCAGTATCTCTAATTTGCTCTCTTCCGCTTGCTAGACATAACCAACTGGATATGAGTGTCTAGCATTAGACTCCTAATGGTGAGTACTCAGTAAAAAAAGGATATCATATGGGCCTCACCTTAACTTTATAAAAAAGGAGCAAAGAGTATAGCTCAGGTAATGGATGAGGGATTATGGAAAAAAACATGGCAACTACAAATTACTCCTAAACTTCATTTTTTTCCTATGGCAAGCTTTATGAGTAATCCTACCTGCTATAGCTATCCTTAAAGCAAGAGACATACTAGTTGCAAATCTTTGCTTAGTATGTCGCCTTCAAGCCGAGACATTGGAACACTTATCTTTACCTGTCCATTAGCTGCACGACTATTGCGAATGGTAGAGTTGGATAATATCCTTAATCACGCCGCGCAAGAAAATTTTATAACTTGGTGGAAGAGTATTATCTATTCTAGGTACAACACATATCAGATTCTACAAGTCGTTTGTTTACTACGGGAAATCTGGAAATCCCGCAATACAGTAGTTTTTGAGGATGCTCAACTACTGTCATCCGTACTCGTTGTTCAATTTTCTCACCAAGTACAAGAATTATCCTCCGCCCACCCATTTGTTCCTCCTCCCCCACCACTGGCAATCCCATCAGTTGATATGACCCAAACCCCGACTCAAGACGTTCGATTCTTCGGAATAGGATTTGGGACGATCTTGATTCACAAAACAGAGTATCGAGATGGTTCAACCGTGCAACTTCTCGCCGTGATGGGGAGAGGATCGATCGAATCGGTGGTAGCAACTCGGCCACAATTGAGGTGCGTACTCAATTGATACGAGCTCGCTTGATTGATGGAATTCAATCCACGCAAACAAGGACAATTCACGAGATAAATCTCAATGAACAAAACGTGTTCTTCTATTAAAACTTGATTCAATTACAACGCAATCTTAACCTTAAATAGAACCTAGCTAGAGTACTGAACAAGGAAAGAAATCCTAAACCTACTACAACTTGACTTAAAACCCAAAAGAACACAACCGTACATGGAAAGGAAACCAAACGTAAACAAGCTGTGAATTCCAATCCCACAAGGATTGCTGATTTCCAAAGTCAGAAACAGTGGCCTCGACACGATCTTTGGACGCTTCGTTCGAGTGCTTCTAAGAACCAAATCACTCAGCCAATCCCTCTTCGTTGTATTCTGAAACTTGTAGTTTGATGTGGAGGAAACCACTGATCCCAACTCGCAACCATCTTCCCAGAATTGTCGCCCAAAGTTGCTATGCCGAACATGGTTTCATACTTAGCCAGAATTTGGCAGTTTTCCTGTGTGTTGATAGCCTTTTGTTGAGCCCGAAAATTGACCTTCCACATATCACCTAGAGTTTCCAGACACTCCAGCTTATACAAGAGGACTTGAAATTCAAAACAAGACCCCAAACTCACCATTCCATCGCTCCAATCAGAAGAACCAAGTCCCCAAAGTACCCTATCTGAACTCGTCAAAAGACTTGACCAAAATTCCACATTGTTCAGATGAATTGGGTTACCTTCTTGAACAAGTAGTTCCAGCTTGGCTATGAAGCAATCCAGGGTTGCATCAGGCCCTCCCTCTTCAAAAAGCTTTGTCCTCAAAGCTGGTTCCTTCCGCTTCTCAAATCTTGCACAGAATTGACCCCAAATCGTGTCGAAAGTTGGCCTCTCGGACTGGCGAATCTGGAAAATTGGGGCGGTGTTCTTCATGGCATCAATTGGGGATTTTCGATTGAGGCCGTGCCAATCTAATTCACTGCTTTCAAGAGCTTCACGGGACTCACAATCGAACATCTGTACCCTTCCCATGCCTCGACCCCACTTCAGCATCGTCGATTCATCACCTTCCTCGTTCCCGCCCAAAGCCGAGTTCAAATGAGCTGCTTTCCAAAGAGCTGAATTCGATTTAGGCGTTTCTTCTTCAGGGGTCTTCGAGCGCAATTGAAGCTTCCTACAGCTTCGGACTTCATGGCCAAATGGTGCTGCATCGTTGGTTGGCGACGATTCACCCCAAGCTGCTCCAACCCATTCGGTCGAATTCTGCTCGTACAGGAGCGTTTGCAGAGGAGATTGGGCCCGAATTGGATGCTGAGTTCGAGTAGAAATCGAGCTAATCCAATCGGTGGAGGAGCTTCCCTGACCCTCAAGGAGTGTGCTAGCACCTTTGACGGAGTTCGAATTGCCCTGGTGAACTCCACCCAATTCATTCTCTCTCCTTCCCTGCGCCGGCAACGAACGACAGGGACGACGGCGGCGAGGCGTCCTCTCTCTTTTGTACCCGGTGAGCATAAAGCGTCGGGTGAGAAGGGAACCTCCAAGGTTAACCTCGGAATTCGTTGCACTGAATTCCCCTTTCACTCGCCGTCGGCCAGTTTCGAGCTGCTCCTGATCTACACGAACTTCCGCCGGAGATAACGGCTTCAGTAAGAACTTCTTACCGCCATGTCGAACCTCATAACAATTCGTTCCACCGTAATGGCATGCGCCTCTATCAAACTGCCAAGGTCGACCGAGAAGCAGATGGGTAGCTTGCATAGGAGCAACGTCAAACAGCATCTCGTCCTTGTAGTCGCCGAGTTCAAATTTTACGAGAGCTTGTCGCTGAACTTTGATTGCGCCATAGTCGTTAAGCCAGTGCAAATTATATGGTGTTGGATGTCGACTTGTGTTCAGTCCCAAGCGCTTAACAATGTCCTGGCTAACAACGTTAGCGCAGCTGCCGCCATCGACGATTACAGACAGTAGTTGCCCCTCGACCAAACATCTCGATTGAAAGAGGTTCTCCCTTTGGTCCTGTTCGGGTTGATGAGTTGCTGTGAGCGCCCTTCGGCTAATGGCGAACAACTTTCCTGGCGGTGGCGCAATTTCAGCTTGGATTTCCTCTTCGATTTCGTCTCCATCAGAATCAAGCGCGGGCTTCGCTGGAGCTTCCTCTTCATCCTCAGAATAATACTCCCCGTCCTTAAGGACAAGCGCTTTCCGGTTTGGGCATTGATTCGCTTTGTGCCCGCGCCCAAAACATTTGAAACATTGAATTTGTGCACTGGAGGCCTCGTTCTTGGTGGGTTGGACTCGAGCAGCTGCCCTTTCTCCCTCTGGTCGAACTGGGTTCCCTTGAGTTCCCTGAACAGACTCCTTTGTAGCAGTAGGGAACCTTCGATTGGATGAGAGCTTGAGCTGTTTTTCCACCCTCATGGCCAAGTGAACAACCTCCTCGAGCTCGACAAATTGTCGAAGCTCAACCTCGTATCGAATCTCCCGGTTTAAGCCGTGTAAGAACCTTGCGATTGTGGCCTCTCTGTCCTCCCTGACATCTGCTCGGACCAAGAGTAATTCAAGCTCCTCATAGTATTCATCCACCGACCGCGACCCTTGCCGAATCTCCTGCAAAGAATCGAACAAATCGCGTTGGTAATACCCAGGCACAAACCTGTCCCTGAGCAGACCCCGCAATTCATCCCACGACGCTACTGCTGGCTGATGATTCCGTCGCCGTCGCAGTTGGACTTGCTCCCACCAATTTGCAGCATAATCCGTGAACTCGTAGGTGGCGAGTAAAACTTTCTGCGATTCGGTGTAAGACCCACATTGGAAGAAGAGGATCATCTTCCTCTCCCAATCCAAGTAAGAGGACACGTTGTTGGTGCCTGAGAACGAAGGGATTGAGAGTTTGATGCCTTTGAGCTCTGTAACAGCTGCTCCCGGTTCTGCTTCATATCGCCACTCGTGATGATCATGATTTTGACCTTGTCGTCCAGGATCGTGGTTAGCAACCACTAACCTTTGTTCAAGTTCCTGGATTCGCGCCAATAATCCCTGATTGGTCCCACCGTGCTCGGCCTCCTGAATTTGGCGGTTGTCACCGTGCTCTGCCAAATTCTGCGGCAAAACAGGGGCAGTGGCTGGCCTTCTCAATTCGGCCAATTGTCGGTTGATTTGGTCAAATTGAGTCTGGAATGTCGCCACAATAGATTGCAGCAGGTCAGAATTGCTAATGGTTGAATCTCCCATGGCTGGCGTTGCTTCTTCGGACCCCAACGTGTCCTTTGCTTCGGCGTGCCGCACTGCAGGGTCACCGTCGACAGGGCCCTTCGATCTTGTCCAGGGCGCAGTGCTGGCTACGTTCTTCTTCGTCTTGGCCACTGCGTTTGAACCTAAGGCTCTGATGCCACTTGATATGGCCCAAACCCCGACTCAAGACGTTCGATTCTTCGGAATAGGATTTGGGACGATCTTGATTCACAAAACAGAGTATCGAGATGGTTCAACCGTGCAACTTCTCGCCGTGATGGGGAAGAGGCTCGATCGAATCGGTGGTAGCAACTCGGCCACAATTGAGGTGCGTACTCAATTGATACGAGCTCGCTTGATTGATGGAATTCAATCCACGCAAACAAGGACAATTCACGAGATAAATCTCAATGAACAAAACGTGTTCTTCTATTAAAACTTGATTCAATTACAACGCAATCTTAACCTTAAATAGAACCTAGCTAGAGTACTGAACAAGGAAAGAAATCCTAAACCTACTACAACTTGACTTAAAACCCAAAAGAACACAACCGTACATGGAAAGGAAACCAAACGTAAACAAGCTGTGAATTCCAATCCCACAAGGATTGCTGATTTCCAAAGTCAGAAACAGTGGCCTCGACACGATCTTTGGACGCTTCGTTCGAGTGCTTCTAAGAACCAAATCACTCAGCCAATCCCTCTTCGTTGTATTCTGAAACTTGTAGTTTGATGTGGAGGAAACCACTGATCCCAACTCGCAACCATCTTCCCAGAATTGTCGCCCAAAGTTGCTATGCCGAACATGGTTTCATACTTAGCCAGAATTTGGCAGTTTTCCTGTGTGTTGATAGCCTTTTGTTGAGCCCGAAAATTGACCTTCCACATATCACCTAGAGTTTCCAGACACTCCAGCTTATACAAGAGGACTTGAAATTCAAAACAAGACCCCAAACTCACCATTCCATCGCTCCAATCAGAAGAACCAAGTCCCCAAAGTACCCTATCTGAACTCGTCAAAAGACTTAACCAAAATTCCACATTGTTCAGATGAATTGGGTTACCTTCTTGAACAAGTAGTTCCATCTTGGCTATGAAGCAATCCAGGGTTGCATCATCAGTGTCCCCATCCTTGTCTCCTCCCCTCCTGGTCTCCTCATACTCAACTTCGGCGATGCTGTCCATCCCTCTCAAGGTAGCGCTACGGGCTTGGCGTTGAAATCTGTAGACGACCGTACGCATCTCGCCGTTGGACTTCATCATCCAGTGATTGGAAACCCGTACTTTGCCGAACTACTAGATGCCCAAGATGTTTTAACCTTGATTCATCACCTTGGCCTCCATGGAGTCATACTGGAAGGGAATTCTGAAGGCATCATTTGCCAGCTACTTAGAGGGATAGAATCAGATGCGATTGGAGGCCCGGTGCTCAGAGACTGCCGTCGGATGATCATTGCTCTAGACATAGACTTAGAGGTTTGTGCGATTCATAGAACTGTCAATCGGGCTGCCCATAGTGTGGCAGGAAAAGCCCTTACTCTGTCTAGTTTAGGATTGCTTTCATTTGATTTCGTTGCTTGGGTAGGAAGGGATTTATAGGGATGGTTGTATTTCTTGTATTCAATTGTCGTATCCCAGGTAATAAAAAATACATATACATGTACCAAAATGTAAAAAAAAAATTAGTATGACCCAAGGTGCCAATGTTTGTTCGATCGGAGGGGTCATGGAAACCTGATATTCTTTATTAATCAGAAAACGTGGTTACAGTATCCAGTTTTAACTAACCAGCCAGTAAAATCAGACATCTATCTACCCATACCGCTAAAAAAATTCCAAATTGTTTTATAATATTATCATACAATCTTTACAAATATTCCCGAGCAAGCACTGAGATTTTGACCAAAACAGAATGAATAAAATTTGGAGCCCATCAATGGAATTTTTCATATTTAGACTATAGGGGCCAACAAATTAAATTATCCGAAAAGACAAAATAAAGAAAACAAAAGATAGAGAAATCCTCGGAGCCTAAATCAACTACCTGCCCGCACACCGTAGAATCTTTTCTTCATTAATCTTCTCCTCATTTCCCTCGTTGGCAACAATTTTCTCTCCTTTCCAAACATCCCAATTTGAGATTTCTCATAGCCTCTCTTTTTGCAATGAATTTCGCCTCCTGAAACATCTATCAAACCAATACCCTCTTCGTTTAATTATCATATTCCTCCAAAATCTCTGCTTCCCCGGGAAATGGTTGTCTTCTCTCCCTTCTTTCCCCTGCCGGATACTTAGAAACGCACCCCATCCACCGCCGGCAGCCGTGTTCCTATTCATCTGCATGAAATTCTAGGTCGTCGGCGGTTGCATGTTCTTTTTTCCCCCTCTTCTTTTTGCTACTAATTTGCAAGAAAAAAGTTTTAGATGATGGAGGGGCAACAAAATCACCACCACCATGTAGATTCCTTCTCCGGGACCCTACCCACTATTGATGAGGACGTTGTCGCTGACCTCACCTGGCCTTTTAGCAACCTTGATGGTTTAGATGTCGATGACATCCGCGAAACTGCCTATGAGGTTTTCTTCACGGCGTGTCGATCTTCTCCTGGATTTGGTGGTGGGAGGAATGCCCTGTCATTTTACTCCACCCATAGTAATCCCAATGATGGTGGTGGTGGTGGAGGAGAAGGAGGACGAGGAGCAGGAGGATTCGGGTCTTTGTCATTTGGGTCATCCTCATCGTCAGTAGGGAGGCTGAGTGGAGGTGGTGGCTCTGTCGTTGTTACGTCTCCAGTTAGTAAAATCAAGCGAGCTTTGGGTTTGAAAATGCTCAAGAGAACACCATCTAGAAGGATGTCAAGCCTGGGTGGCGGATTCAGCGGTGGAGGTAGTGGTGGTGCAGGTTCAGCACCGAGTTCCCCTAGCACGCCACAACATCACACGGTATTCAGTAGCCCTAATATTGGTTTCTCCACGTTGCAACCGGTGCGTCCAAGACGACCGCTAACTTCTGCAGAGATAATGAGGCTTCAAATGAGAGTGACAGAACAAAGTGATAACCGGCTCCGAAAAACTTTAATGCGGACTCTTGTTGGCCAAGTACGTTCTGTTGCATGTAAATTTCACTTCTCATAGTACACTATGTTACATTTTCCAAATTGTGAACCATCGAAAAACATGTTCTCGTGCATACATATTCCTTAATTTGATTCTTTTGGTTTTGATGGAAAATGATCACAGCTAGGGAGACGAGCAGAGACGATAATATTACCACTAGAGCTTCTTCGCCATTTAAAGCCATCAGAGTTCAACGACGGTCCCGAGTACCACATATGGCAGAGACGACAACTCAAGGTGCTAGAGAATGGCCTCCTCATCCACCCTTCCATCCCAATAGACAAATCCAACACCCATGCCATCCGCCTCCGTGAGATCATCCTTTCTAGTGAGACCAGACCCGTCGACACCAGCAAAAACTCCGAGACCATGAAATCCCTCTGCAACGCCGTGGTCTCCCTCTCATGGCAAAGCAGCAATAAAAACGCCACCGATGTTTGCCACTGGGCCGACGGTTACCCTCTCAACATCAACATCTACATCGCACTCCTTCGCTCAATCTTCGACATTAGAGAAGAAACCATGGTACTCGATGAGGTTGATGAGCTTATGGAGCTAATGAAGAAGACATGGACAACTTTGGGGATCAACCGGCCGATTCACAATCTATGCTTCACTTGGGTATTGTTCCAACAATATGTGCTAACTTCACAGACGGAGCCAGACTTGCTTTACGCAGCGCACACCATGTTATCGACGGAAGTCGCCAATGAATCAAGGCATCCTGATAGGGAAGCATTGTATGTAAAGTTGTTGTCTCTTATGCTGGAGTCGATGCAAGGGTGGGCCGAGAGGAGATTACTTCACTACCATGATTATTTCCAGAGAGGAACAGTTGTTTTGATCGAGAATCTGTTGCCCTTGGCTCTATCTGCATCTAGGATTTTAGGGGAGGATGTTTCCATTGTTGAAGGGATGGGAGGGAACGAGAGGAGAGACACTAAAATGGTGGTTGATTCGTCTGAGGATCGAGTTGGTCATTATATTCGTGCTTCAATCAAGAATGCTTTCGCCAAGGTAAAGTACTACGATCTATAATAATCTGCATTAGAAATCACTGCTCATGTGTTGAATTGTATCATTGGTTTGTATATATATAATGGCAGATCATAGAAACTGGAAGCTACAAGAGCACTAGGTTGGAAGTGAAAGATGAGGCAACTGAGGCACTGCTTCAATTGGCCAAAGAGACAGAGGATTTGGCTTTAAGAGAGAGGGAATACTTTAGTTCCACCCTTAAGAAGTGGAACCCAAATGCTGCCAGTATTGCATCTGTGACTCTACACCAATGTTACGGAGCAGTATTGAAGCAGTATCTAGCTGGCGTAACATCTTTGAATAATGAGATGGTGGATGTGCTCCACAGGGCTGCTAAGCTCGAAAAGGCCTTGGTTCAAATGGTGGTCGAGGACTCAGAGGAGTCTGAAGATGGAGGAAAGAATATTATTAGGGAGATGGTTCCTTACGAGGTTGATTCAATCATACTGAAACTTGTTAAGCAATGGATTGAAGAGAGGTTGAAGATTGGGGGAGAATGTGTTGTTCGAGCAAAAGAGTCCGAGGTATGCAAGCGCATAACTTACAAAAATGGAAATGTAAAAATAAAATGACATTCTAACATGTATATTATTGTTTGCAGACATGGAATCCCAAGTCCAAAAACGAACCTTATGCTCAATCGGCTGTGGAGCTAATCAAAATTGCCACCGAAACAGTGGAAGAATTCTTCGAAACCCCCATTGGAATTACAGATGATCTCATTTGTACACTTTCAGAAGGTCTTGAGCAGTTGTTCCTAGAATATGTTAGTTTCGTAACAGCTTGTGGTATGCAAATAGTACCACCAACTCTCTCTCTCTCTCTCTCTCTCTTATTATATTTGGATTTGGTCTCACCGAATTCATGTACTAATTTTTTAGGATCAAAGCAAAGTTATATCCCAACTCTTCCTCCACTAACCAGATGCAATCGGGACTCGAAGTTCTCCAAAATATGGAAAAAGGCAGCTCCTTGCACTGTGACACTAGAGGATCTTCACCAAAATGAGTTCAATGAAATTCATCACCCTCGACCATCAACAAGCCGAGGAACACAACGTCTCTACATCCGCCTCAACACATTGCATTATCTTGTTTCTCACTTACACGCACTAGACAAGACCCTTGCCCTGGCTCCAAGGTGTAATTCCGCTCGAAGGCGTAATAGTCGTCGACAACACAGTACATCCTCTTACTTTGAGAAATCCCACACAACCATCCAATCTGCTTGCCAACATGTATCAGAAGTGGCTGGTTATCGTTTGATATTCCTCGACTCCAGCTCGGTGATATACGAATCACTTTATGTCATTGATGTTGCCAATGCAAGGATCAAACCAGCACTTAGAATCCTCAAACAAAATCTTACTCTCATGAGTGCAATCCTGACTGAGCGAGCTCAGTCGTTAGCCATGACAGAAGTAATGAAGGCCACATTCGAGGCCTTCCTCATGGTTTTACTTGCCGGAGGATGCTCCAGAGTATTCTACAAAACCGATCATCATATGATCGAGGAGGATTTCCAGAGCTTGAAATGCATGTTCTGCACTTGTGGTGAAGGGTTGATGAATGAGGACCTCGTGGAGAGGGAAGGAGAGATAGTGGAAGGAGTGATTGCATTGTTGGGTGAATCCACGGAGCAACTAATGGAGGATTTCAGCACTGCTGCTTGCGAGACGAGCGGTATAGGAGCCTTGAGTTCCGGACAGAAACTACCAATGCCACCAACAACAGGGAGATGGAATAGAGGGGATCCAAACACAATCTTGAGAGTTTTATGCCACCGGAATGACAGAGTAGCGAATCAGTTCTTGAAGAAATCGTTCCAGTTAGCCAAAAGAAAGTGATGAGAAGTGAAACCCAATTGAGGGAATTTTGTCCTCTGTTACGCAAATATAATTTCAGGAGGTCACTGACGGCTATACAAATTTTAATATCTAGCTGACCTTGATTTCATAGTACATACACATAAGAAGACAAATAGTGTAAAAGACGGCTCATTGTGCTAAAGAGCTTAAAAACAACTGACATTTTTTGGTGTTTTTTTAACTTTTTAGTACTAGGGTACTGATGTTAGGCACCTCCTTGGAAGAGGTTTCTGTGTGTGCACATAGTCGTGATCAATTCAACTTCTCCCCTTAAAAAAGGGTTTTGAAATTTTCTCGTCATTCATTATGTGTTTGTTTGCTTATAAAAAGTTGTTTCTCGAAACCTTGGTACATGTTGTATAAAGCATGAACAAATGTGACCGTTGCAGGAAGAACCTACATTTGCAATATCGATCATGGTAGCTTGGATCTGAAATGTTTCTCATTATCATTTCACTGTGTGTGCAAACAGATTATAAGTTATTCATTGGATGATGGTTCCCTCAAACGAGCATTTTCTTTCAGTTCTTCCGCTAGAACATGCATCGAATCCGAGACTTCAGCTTTGTAGACATAGAACCTGATCACGACCAAGAAGAAGCCCAGGTTCAGGAAGTTGAGCACGGAGAAGAAGGCGTAGTAGTAGTCGAGATGAGATGCATTCAAATTGTTCAGGATCCAACCCTTGTGCCCATGCCTCTTTGTGACATCAGAAATGGTCGACAGAAGGAAGCTACTGATGAAATTGCCTATCCCAAGGCTAGTGGTGGAGTACGAAGTCCCCAAACTCTTCATGCTCTCCGGAGCCTGATCATAGAAGAACTCAATCTTGGCCACCTCCAAGAAGGCATCCGCAGTTCCCATGAGCACAAACTGAGGAAGCAACACGAAGATGGAGAGAGGGATCTGGCCTCCACTCTCCACCACACCATGCTTCCTCGCCTCGCTCAGCCTGTGCCTCTCCGTCAACGACGCCACCAGCATTATGACGATGTGGAAGACGATCCCGATCCCCATCCTCTGGAGCAGCGTGATCCCTCGCGGGTTCTTGGTCCACTTCCTCACCAGCGGGACCAGGAACCTGTCGTACAATACAACAGAAATAAGCATCGACAAGGTGACGAACCCCGTGAGACTCGCTGGAGGGATGTGGAAGCTGCCGATCTGGCGGTGCAGGGTGGTCCCTTGCTTGACGAACAAGGTATTGATCTGGGCGATCATCGTGCTGGGTATGAAGGTCGCCACCAGGATCGGTATCATCCTGAGCATCTGTTTCGTCTCTTCGACCTGAGTCACCGGACACAGCATCCACGGACCGTCATCTGACCCCGTCTGAACCGCAGCTTTGTTCAGAAACCTATCATAATAATTGTTAAGAACAGAACAACAACCAGGAACAAGGTTACCGAATCTGGAGCTGAGTCGCGGACTAGGTCGCTCTCTTTTAACCGGAGACAGCCAGATACGACAAAACGACGAAACACATACACAATAAATGTATACATTACCTCAGAGTAGGCGTGGAGTCGATTCTGAACTTGCCACCTTTGGCATACTCAGCCAGATCCAGCTCGTAGAGCTGCTTCGGATCACCAGGAACATCCACCTTCCACTTCCTCCCCGCGGCCACGATCACCCTGGCCATCCGAGTAAAAGGGCTCCCGCCGGGGACCCTGTGACGGTAAAAGGGCGTCCCGGCGAGGAAGATGACGATGGAGACGAGGAGGCCGGCGGTGGGGAGGCCGTAGCCGATGCTCCAGCCGACGTTGTCCTGGATGTAGACGAGGACGGTGTTGGCGAAGAGGGTGCCGAAGAAGATGCTGAACATCCACCAGTTGAAGAAGGAGAGCTTGTGGGCTTTTTCCCTGGGCTCGAAGTCGTCGAACTGGTCGGCCCCGATGGTTGAGATGTTGGGCTTGGTCCCGCCCGTGCCCACGGCCAGGGTGTAGAGGGCCCCGAAGAAGATGCCCAGCTGGAGGGTTGAGGCCTTGGGGCAGTTGTTCGGGTCCGGGTCGGTGCAGTGCGGCGGCCGGAGCGACGGCAGCGAGACTGCGAGCGTCAGCAGCGACATCCCCTGCATTTATGTATGTTAGGGGGTTTTTTTTTTCTTGTTGAAATTTCAAGGTAGGGTAATAATCCATTAATTAATGAGATACCTTTCTATAATCCTATTCGTTATCATTAGCCAGTAGTAGGGCACAAAGTAATTATTTACCTTGTTTTGACTTTTGAGCAGAACTCAATAAGTATTCAGTCTTATCGAGCAAGAAAGAACAGGGATGGAGTTAGAATTTAAGGATGAGGTGCCAAAGTCTATTTATATGCCAATGATATGAAAAATGATTCGAAGTTTTGACCATATACACCATTATTCGACCACTACAAAGAGAATTTGCAATTCAACAAAGAGATAGTATAACGAGATGGTAACGACAAAAAATGAAACTAATTTATTTTAGGAAAAGCTCTAAAAGTTCTTCAGTTGGAAGTTGGAACTCAAGCCCAATTGTGAGGAGAAAACACGACAACATCGGACTCAAAACACAGTAGAGCACTGAATTACATTTGAAAGGAAAATTAGATACTGATTAGAAATGGGTCGAAAGAGACAGAAAGGGCTAGAAAGCAAGTACATGTCAGAACTAGCTATGAAGCAAGAGAAAGACTAGGTCATGGCTTGGGGAGGCCCTCCCCCCGGATCTGCCACTAAAACGTAAGTGAAGGCGTGAATTATCACTCTATTTGTCCATGCTATGAATTGCTCGCGGAAATTCGGCAAATCACTCTTAAGAGTCTCTTTTCCGTATTTGAGATTTATATAAAGAAGAAGAAACAAAAAGAAGAAGAAGAGCGTAAGAAAAATAATTTTGACGGTAATGGACTTACAATTGTGAAGATGGAAATTACCTACTCAAACATGACTTCTTTTCGGTCTCCACAATAATCGCAAACTATAGTTAATTAATTAATCGAAAAATTATAAATTAAATATAAAAACTCAATTTCAAACCGCAATGTGTGCAAGGTGTTAAAATCATTTTAAATTGCACATGCCACTCCCAAAAATTCACTAACCACACAAACAATAAAATAGAGTAGAGCAGAAAGAGATTTTTATAAACTAACTTACACTTTCATTTTCTTTCGGTGTGTGTATTTTTCACACTTGGAGACTAAAACTTAAGAAATAACTCTTCACTATATTCACTAACCAACCAATGATCGGGTTGGTAACAAAGCAAAAACTAGTTATGCAATAACGTTGTAACAGGACAAAGACCAGCCTGCCCTTGCGTAACTTTCAGATCATAGGAAGGAGGATTAACTAATAACTAAACTAATCATAATCATCAGCCATCTGATCATGTTACCATTAAACATCTATATTGAGGAGAAAAGGACAAGACCAGACAGCCTGCCCGACAAAAATAATATGTCAACTTGCCAAATTGAAAGCTTATTATCGATCGACGGGGTTAATCTCTTGGCACGTTCTGTGGTGGGAATAAATTAAGAGCTCGATCGATATTTGACGTAAATTAAAAATGGGTAATTAATTAATTAATAAACAACTGACGACAGTGTTCACTGTTTCAGTGACTAGTGGGAGGTGATTAAGACTTGACACATTTTAATTTCCTCCCAACGGCCCGCTAGCCATGCAGTTGTTGATAACTGCCGGCCGGTCGCCGGGTCAACCTATTTCTAGATGCCCGTGGGAACAAAACAAGCAGAGCAGCAAACTTGGATAATATGGAAGTCTCCATAATGCGGCAAATAGGTCTATTTTCAACCTTGCAAAATATATTTTATTTATTTGATAAGAAGAAACACAATACATTGCAGGAGGAATTTTACAATGCTATATAATATTGGTACTATAGGTTTTTGTCTTTATGGTACAATTTGAAATTGTACAACGTTATGGTACAACTTCAGATTGTACCTATACTTTTTGTACAAATTCTTTTATGGTACAACTTAAACTTGTACCTTATGTGATGGTACAACTTCAAATCTTGAAGTTGTACCACAAAGGAATTTGTATCATTATGTCTTGAAGTTGTACCATAACATAATGATACAAATTCCTTTATGGTACAACCTAAACTTATACCTTTAATGTTATGGTACAACTTCAAGTTGTACATTAAAGCACCAATGCTATATAGCATAGTAGAAGTGCTCTACATTGCAGTTTTTTTTCTTTTTACTAGTGCTTCTAAATAATGATAATCGAATAATATTTAATTGTTCATTTCATAATTTCCTGATTAATTGTAATTTACAAAATGTTATTTATTTCGGCATGTTTGAAGAAGAAAATTTCGAACAATGTATATCACTATTATATACCACCACGATATATTATCGTACCGACATACATATATATATATTTTTTTTACACCATCACAATGTATAAAAGTTATATCATACGTACCCAAGATAAATTTCGGGGTTACCACATACCTTGAGTTCAAAAACACTATTCAAACCTTGAATTGACAAGATTTTGGGACAAGGTACCATAGCATAACCCTTAATGATTAAGCTCTATGTCTTAATTCTCACAATCTTCTACGCTAAGATCAATTTAATTAGCAATAATAACCGACAATTATGATGCATCGAAATACATCCAACAAACTACATGCACATCTTTGAGTTTAGAGTTTCTTATTTACATAATATCTAGGTTCAATCATGATCTAAATAGCATTTTCTTTGTTCAAAATATGTGATACCTTATATTTACGTTTTTTTTTTTTTTTTGTGTGAAGAAACCTTAGATTTACTCTAACTATGATAAAAGCCACACAATCTAACTTTTATACTATTATTGTAGTATACAAATAAAAAATTGCGATGCCCATCCTTCCATCGGTAAAATAAGTAAAAAAAAAAACCATATTTCCCCAAAGTAGTGTATATATATTAGATTAAAGAATGGATTGTCACGCGTGTTTACCAAAGACATCCTTATTCATCCCACTTGCCAAAATTAAGCAATTTAAGTCCACATTTTTTTTATAGATTAAAAAATCACCATCAATCGTCCGCATTCTCGACTTGATTAAGTAATTAGCAAGATGATGACATACTTGATTAAGTAATTAGCAAGATGATGACGAGGAGTATATAGAATGAGATAACAAATAATTAGCAGTTCCACTTACGGAGAGGTAGATGGCGGAGGCGGCGACGAAGGTCCAGTAGCGGCCGAGGTGAGCGTCGGCGATGTAGGCGCCGAGGATTGGCGTCATCCAAATGGTGCCGACCCAATTGGTGACGTTGTTGGAGGATTTGACTGTGCCTTGGTGCAGCTTTTTCGTCAAATAAATCACCAAGTTTGTCGATATCCCGTAGTACGCCATCCTCTCAAACACCTCATAAACTGCAGGAAAGCCAAACCACCAAAACAACACGTTTACACGAAAAATTCGTCATCTATTCATTACAATCTTAGAAAATTTTGCTACCCCAACTGCCTGTGCACAATAGTATTTATGAGAATCCAGTTTCATGAAGCGAAAGGAGGATTTCGAAATCAATACAGTCGTAACTTACTGACTTTTTCTTATGGAAGAATTAGGGATGAGATTCAATTAAAAATTAAATTAAATCGAAGCAGATACAAACTCTTCAATCGTGACTTAATCTTATAATTTTTTTGGAGGGTTTGGTCGAATTTCACGCAAATGTATATGTCGGTAGAGGGAACTAAGGATATTGATGGGTGGGTGGGAGCGGGAGAAATAGAGAGTACCGAGGAGAAGCGAGCGAAGGTCGAAGAGGATTAAGAAGAACGAGGTATTAATGTATGAATATCTACATTTATAAGTCGTTTGAACTCTGAATTGGATGTTTTGTCGGCAATGTCTCGAAACAAGTATTTTTAGCAAAATATCTCATCTAGCAAGCTAAAAAAAAATAACATGCATTTTGACAATAAAACAATTCACAATGTCTCTATTGAAATCATTTCCAGATATCTAGAAGATATAAGCATTTCAAAGTATATCTCTTTTTCTCGTAATATCCAACATTTCGAAAGCTCCTTGTAACATTCATATCAATTTTGAAGGCTATCAATTTGTGGTTCAATTGGGTACACCAAAATCATAGTTCGGCTCAAATCAGCTCCACCGGTCATGGTCCCATGAAGTTGGGTTTGGTCGTATTGTGGTTGAAACTTTTGGTCACCACCACTCTGCCCATTAAATGCTTTTGCAATTTTGTGTTCTATCAGCATTAACTGACGGGCAAAAAGTGGGAGAAATTTGGGAAGATTTCCCATTGTTTTTGGGATCTCAATTTGCTCTATGCCTATCCCTCCGATGTTAATCCATTCCATGGACCAATCCTTTGACTACCCGGCCGCAAATGAAATTAAAAGAAGGAGTTCGCCATTTACCCTAAGAAAAATGGGAGCCAGAGAAAGGGGAAATGACATGGCTGGATCACAAAGTTCCAGGCAAAGCAGGGGAAAGCCTTATTAACGCTCATTACCCAACTCGACATTTCCAGGTGTCGACCTTGAGCTAGCTCTGGAAAACTATGCGGAAAACAAAACACAAGGCTGGGGAAAACCGGAGAGCTATCTCGAGAAACAGAGGAAGCAGGGGATATCAATAAAAACAGAGCATCATATCTAAAAACAGGGGAATCTGCAAGTAACTTACCAACAACGAAGGAGCAAGCTTTCCAGCCACCACGTTTAGAACGGCGAACTGGGTTCCCTTTGAGATCCACCGTCCCATCTTGAGTATAGTCATTCTCCACTCCTCCTTCCATGGAACTGGAAGAAGAAGCCATAACCACCCACCGGAAAAGGGGGGAAAAGGGTAAAGCTAGCAGCTTGCTAACTGAGATATTTTTATTATTGCGTGTGGGGGGAAGAGAAGAGGGAGTAGTAGGGCCTTCGGCTTCTTCTACTTAGATATCCCTTTTTAGAGGGGTTTTAAACACTCGCCCATGTTCACCATCGTTTGTATCTTCCAACCCTTCTATTTGTGCAAGTATATATACAAAGACATGCACAGTGAGATACAGAGACGAGATGAATCGAACCGTATATTAATTCCAAGGTTCCAACTCCCACCCTGGCAACTTTGAAAAAGACTTCCCCTGCTACAAAATCAAATCCCACTACTGCCCCTGCAATGCTCTGTTTTCTTCTTCTTCTTTCCTTGCTAATTTTGACTTATTTGATATGTTCCAAATTTTCTCCAGCTGATGAGGAAGTGCAAAACATGACATTAAAGACCCATGACATGATTCTTGCGTACGTTGATTTCCTTTCCTGGGTTTAAAGATATTTTTCTTCCTCTTTATTATTCTTAATTCATGTGGAAGGAGAATGAGTCCCTCACCTCATAGTAATTGAATATACATAGCTAATCGATCTAAATGGGGAAAGAGGTGGCAAATGGGTTGGGTTGGGTTGGTGGGTTTGCGGGTTTGTGCCTTTTGTGGTTCATGGGTTTGATTTGAAGGAGCTTGACTTGGTGACTCTTTGGGGGATCAAAGAGATTCCATTAAAAAATTGATTTTGTTTTGAGGGTATTTAGGGAATTTGTCAAACCTAAGGGATATTTTTAACGTTTAAGAAGTTTGGGTATCAAACTATAAAATAGTGGATTTGTATGTTAATCGGAAAAATGTTAAGACGAATTGGATAGTTCGTTCAAGAGTCTAAGATGTCTCATTCAAGATTAGATTAGATTATAATAATGTTCTTCGTCGATCGCACACAATATTTGGTGCAGTTTCAACACCAAGTCAGACAATTGCTCCTTCTCGATAGCTCGATCGATCTTCACCACTGTTGTTGTCTACTTCTCGTCGGCCGCCGCTAGTGGCGGATCTAGGGGGAGGCCTCCGTCCCTGGGCAATGGTTCATCCCTCCTCTAAGTTCAGAGCTAGTATAGCAAACGAGACATGTTTGCTTCCATCTCTCTTTACCTCTCTTTCGACATATTAGTAGCCGGTATCTAATTTTCTATTCAAATGTGGTTCAGTACTCTACTATGTCCTGTATCTGTCGCTGGCCGCAGCTCGAATCTCCAACACCAGCTCAAGTTAGGGATAATGCAACAACTATGAACTGAATGGAGCTGTGAACAGGAGGACGAAAAAGTTAGGTCAGTTAGTTAATTTTTCAGAATGGCAAGCATGTGCCTCCCACTAAAATCAACATTAAATTGTTGTCTATCCTTAAACATAGAAATTCACAAAATAAAACACTTCCTATTGGATAAGGTTAGTAGTGTCATGCCAACAAAATCAGGGTTTATTCACTTTCATTATCGTTCTTGTTTCATGCTTTCACTATGAAATATGGCAATGGAAACGAAAAAAAGTTGTTTACTTTTCATATTATTATTTTTGGTTCATTTTCAACTTTGGCAATAGAAAATAGTAGATTCCCCGTGTTTATGAAAACAATAAAATATTGTTTCTACCGGTTTACAACATATGTTTTATCATATTTTCAGTGAAAAACTATTTTTCTTTTCTTGATGAGGTGAAATATTCGAATGACATTACTCAGAGCTATTTTTAACACTTTTATTTTAGTCCTATATTTTCTGTTTTACCTAACTTATCCTTTCATTATATATAATTTTTACCTTATGGACTATTCGGAATCAAATGAATCAAGAATTCATTTCAATTCATATCGTACAAAATTCGTCATCAAACGAACTGCTATGTCTAGAATGTTATACTCATATTCTTACAAATTAATTGAACTAAACTCTCCAATCATGTTTGGAACACATTTATTATTGAATTAAACGAAAACCATCCAAAATGTACCATTAATTGTGAAAGTAACAATGTTATCTTTACTTAGCTTATTGAATTAGCACAAGAATCATAACCTTATGGTTGAGCCTGTGTAGTGACAGGGTAGCACCTTTCCACAAGAACAAATGTGAATTCAAAGTTTACTATTGAAAATAAATTCTTTTCTATTTCAAGCACAAAATTACTTCATGTTAAAATGAATATCTCAAAAACTTATAGAATTCATTTATAACCGTATTTCTGATATATCAAATTTAATACTGAAATTTTTGGTATTTGATATTCTCGAATATTGAGTTATATTTTTGAAATTGAAATTAGAAGTGACTTTTGAGATGTTATTCAATATTTCAAAGTAAATGGAACCCTTCCTTCACTCAATAGTCAATAGGCCATTAAGTTTGCTCATTCATACTTCAACTTGTCGCCGAGCCAAAATTCCATCTGGGTCAAAATTACGACCAACAGTAGTAGCATTCGAATAAAGCCTTATAAACTACTATATTTTTTAAATTTATTACAAAATTTACATATAATTTAATCCAATTTCGAGAGTTGAGATGTTATTATATACTAGTGTACTGTGTGAACAATGAGATGAAATGAAAATTATTGGGGATCCATCACAATTGTAATTCCAATTAACTTAACGATTACTGGGTCAATAATCAAATTATATGACAATCAGATGATGGTTGTGTTATTCCTTATTAAATAGAGATTCAAATTTGAAGGACTTGACTGCTGAGCTCTTGTTTCCAACTCCTCCAATTTCTTTAAAAAAAAAAAAAATTGGTACAAGTTGGCTTTGAAAATCTGATGAGATAGAATCATGAACATGATCATCGAGTCACAGAGTGGCATGGAGATTGGAGCAGCCTGCAGGCGTTGACTTCTGACAGCCAGTGGCCTGGCAGGTCTTCTCTACAATCTACGTACCTACCATATATCTATGGTCACGACGTAGATATATATGAATACTTAAAAATTGTTTCTGATTAGCTTTGGTTTTATTATGAATGTAATGATCATTAGGTGCATCTTCTCTACCTGTTTGTTATTCAAAAAAAAAAAAATTAAGGTTAATTAATCTTTGATGCCGTATGTCTTGGTCGGCCGACCAAAATGGACAATTAGCTAGTTGCCCTCCATTTAATATGTTCTTAAGTCAGGCGGCCTGATAACGAATGGCATTAACAATATTGGACAACTTAAATTATTCGAGTCTCTAGAGGATTTGCAGTCTAGCTATTATATGCTTGAAAGAGTGAGAAAAGGATAATTACTATATCTTTAATGGTTTCCATAACACCTATCCACATTGCACAATGATCAATGAGTAAACATTGTAAAATCGCATCGAAGGTTGTACCGGATGAGTTCATGGCAAGATATTTTGTGGTACTACCATCATGATGGTCAATTATTGCATACCGGTAAAATATCATTTTTTAGATAAAAAAAAAATATTATTTTCCGAAAATATCGGTAATGAAAAAAATACACTATTCTAAATCGTAATTTGCTATTTGGATTCATGAATTTGATTTGGATAAAATGAATTGAATTTCAGTGAATTGAATTAGATGGATAATTTGGTAGATGAATAGAATTGGATTCATAAATATGAATTCTAATGGCCACCTCTACTTCTACCGCTAACAATTATATTCTCCGGAGAAGTGGAGAAACAAGATTGGTTAGGGTTGAGATGGTTCTCATTTCGTTTGCTCTCTATCTGGACGATCTATGTGTCTATGGGCTTTGTATTTTGTCCATATATACACATTGTTGAGTTTATTTTGGGAGGACTTTTTTTTATATTTCTTGTCGGCTAAATTACACGTTTGGTCACTTAAATTATATAAATCTTTCACATTTGCCACCCAAATCACTTTTCTTTCTTATTTGCCACTAACTTTATGAATCGTTTCATATTTGGTCACCGGCCGTTAGTCTCCGTTAACTCCGTTAAATTTTTGATGATGTGGCAAGCGGAACTGCTGACTGGACCGTTAACTTAATTACATGTCATTTTAAAAAATAAAATAATAAAAAATAATTTACATATGGGTCGATAGATGAACCCCAGATTTCATCATCTCGTCAAAGACCCAATACGCCTATAGGGTCTTCTTCCCCTGAAACAAAGTCTTGAGTCTTGACGAGTGACAAGCCACAAGTTCGCGAATCGAGCGCCAAGCTCTGAGCTCTAACCTGCTTTAACAAGGATTCCACGACGGAGGCAGTGGACTGGAGAGAAGTGGATGGGACTTGAATATCAATTTGTAGGAAGCCGAATCGTGAGCAAACCCAGGTTGCTGAGTAAAATTTCTTCTCCGTTTTGAAAACCTCGAGAATCAAAGGCGACAATGTCGTCTCATCATCATGATGTTCTTCAAGAACGCCATCATTCCCACCCTTACCTTATTCCAAAATTCCTTGTTCTGGTTTTGGATTCGTAGCGTTCTTCCCCAGCTCCTCCTCCTCCGTTGAAACCTCCGAAATCGGAACCGGTGATGGCATCGTTTTTCCTTTTCGTTCGAAGAAGCCTCGTTTTGCTCCGAATCACTCTTCGCCGATGTAATTAAATCCCCTTCGAACCTTTCGTAAGTAGATCTGGAACTCGCCGGCGCCGGGCACCCATTTTCTTCTTCCTTCCGCGTCCCCTGCTCCTCCTCATCACCCGATGGCGAAGAAGCACCAACGACCTTCCTCTTCCGACAACGATCTGACGGCGACAGCTCGCGGAGGTCCCGGGACGCAAGGTTAGAATAAGGTCTATACGGCGGCTCCTCGGCAAGCAGACTTGAGCGCCGATCTCCGCTCAGAAAGAACCAGAACCGTTGGCAGGCTTAAATTCACTTCGAGAATTGCTTGATTCTCCGGCAGCATAGTGGAATTTTGTGGGTTAGGGATTCTTTTTGGAAGCCGGCGGTGAAGGAAAGGAAAGGGCGTAATTTTGTGGGTTAGGGATTCTTTTTGGAAGCCGACGGTGAAGGAAAGGAAAGGGCGAAGAAGAGGGTCAACTGACCAATCTGTAAATTATTATTATTATTTAATTTTATATTGACATGTCATTAAGTTAACGGTACAATCAGCAGTTTCGTTTGCCACATCATCAAAAAGTTAACGGAGTTAACGGAGACTAACGGCCGGTGATCAAATATGTAACGATTCGTAAAGTTAGTGGCGAGTAAGAAAGAAAAATGATTTGGGTGGCAAACGTGAAATATTTATATAATTTAAGTGACCAAACGTGTAATTTAGCCATTTCTTGTCTAATATGTTCTATGTACCCTTCCATTGGGTTCAACCGAATTTGTACACTTCTTAGATTTTTTTTTCATAGATAGGTGTACAATGTTATAGGTACGTGTACAATGCATCATGCTTACAAATATGTAGTAAAAGAAATAATCAAATGCGGCGGTCAATAGCTAATCAATTCGTCGATAAAAGAGCCTTTTTAGCCACTAAATGGGCAGATCTGTCAATATCCTAAGAAATGCAATAAAGAATACAAGCGGGTACACAACACGCGCCAAAGCCAGAGAAGTCGGAGGATATATCAATTTTTGTCGAAAACAAAAGCAAACCGACCATTCCCATTGCCATGTGCATGCAAAACCACCACCAATTGTTTGCCAACACAGAGCTACACATCAAATGAAGCACCTGCAAAGAGACAAACCACATAGCCAAACTACTAGTTTTAAAATGCTCGTTCCAACTCATCAATATCCAATTCCTTGTCCCTAGAAGATGGATCTTCTTTCTCTACTGACAACCAGTAACTAGTAACAGAAGAATCAATGCTTTCAAGGCTTATGGGATCATATTATTCTGTGTTTTTCTTGGTATAATACTCCCTAATCAAAGTAGAAAACATAAATAATTCAATTCAATAGTAAGCATAGAAAGTATGAATTCATCATACAAGTTCTATAATTCAAATCATTACCTATTCTGCAATCATAGGTTGTTATTCACAAACACCAAGTTACTAAGCACTTTATCCTGCAATCTGTTTCTTCTTTTGGTGTGCACACCTTCAAAGACACTCCAATTACGTTCACAACCAGAAGAAGAAGCAGGCTAAGAATTCGAATATCCAACTTCTGAATACTTGGAGCATCCATGCCAAACCATTTCCACCACTTATCTACATATAAAACATACATGTTATTTTGTTAAATACAGTAATAAATAGAAGGACTTCAATGCAAGTGATATCAATTACCTGATTGTTGTTTCTGTGCAGAATCTATCGTCATCTTCCTCCCAAAGTTTCTTGAACGTTCAGCATACATATTCATCTCCGCCACCACCACACTATTATCAGGACATAAAGACGAGTTCCCAAGAAGATTAAGAAGTCCAAATATAACCGCCCTATCCTCTCTCCAATCATCAGAATACTTCAAAGCCGGATTAAGATAGTGAGCAGCCATAAACAAATCACGGCTCAAGTGCTTATCCCATCTCCTATTAATGATATCCATGTATGGCTTGTACTTGTCTGGCTTATCTCCACAAATAGTCATAATAGCATTTGACACCCTCATCATCCCATCATGCACGTACCCCATTGCTGGTTTACTATCTGAATCCACAACTCGAAGCAACTTAACAATTGGTGCTATCAATTTCACAATGAAATCACAATCAGCCCAAAACTGTTGATCCAGTACAATTTCCTTCACATTCTTTCCATCCTTAGTACTTGAAAGATCATTTTCTTTAAAGAACTCACTAATCACCGGTTCCTCCAAATCATGCATGTGCTCAAAAATACTTTGCAAACTCAAAATGTAGTAGCAAATCTAGTAGCACCAGGCCTCACTATTTCTTTCCAATTCTCCTTTGTCTTCAACCAGAAATAAATTGGACTATGATTGTAACAAATTTTGAGACCTTGGTAGCTCGATATGCAAGGTTCTTAACATGAGGCATAGATCCAATGTCATTCAAGATCAAGTTAAGGGTATGAGCAACACAAGAAGTACAATATATATGACCATAATGCTCATTTATCATTGTCTCTGCTAATTTATAATTGGATGCATTATCAGTCACCACACGCACAACATTCTCCGCTTCAACCCAATCAATGACCTCACAAAACAACTTAAACAAGTTCCTTCCATTCTTGACCAAACCAGAAGCATCAATGGACTTCACAAAGCATGTTCCAGCAGGAGAATAAACAAGAGAGTTGATTAAGGATCTATGCCTATTATATGTCCAACCATCCGCCATAATAGTGCATCCAGATTTCTTCCAATGAGACCTCAAATTCTCAATCAATAACAGACACATTTTACAATGCTATCCAACAAAGTAAACCTCAAAGCATAATATGCAGGACCGCCATAACCAGGACTAAGAGTCATAGAAGCATCCAATGCTATTTTAAATTGTGGAGATTTAATTGCTTCTAAAGGAACACATGCATCATAAAAACATCTACCCCATGCTCGATCCACATACAATACAACTTCTTTAGTTGCTAAGGCACTCTTTATTCCCGATTGACACTGGAAGATGATCGTGGAGCAAAGAAAGTGTCAATCGAACCCTAGACACATTAGGAGCAACTATTTTAGCACTATTATTAGCATCTTGTGCACTAGAAAAACTTGTATCACGAGATTTTTTAAATCCAAATTTGATAACTTTAGATTTCTTCTTATTAGCTTCATAATCAGTCAAAAGCTTCAACATGTTTTGACTCACCTCAGGAGGAACCATTGAGCATATTGCATTATCCTCACTAATCCCAACTAGATGTTTTTTCATTATAGTAATTCCTCCACCTCTAAATTCTTTTTGACAATAGGTGAGTACCTCAAATTTTCCATCCTGATGAAGGGAACAATGAGCCAAGTTGGATCACTTTTGCTTTGTACACTCTTTGCGGCAACCTTTGGATTACTAGGGGGCTGCTCCTTGATCAACCGATCGGGCTTCTTCTCCACTGGCCATTGCTTCCAAAACATCCCAAATTACCAGAATAGAGGACATAAATTATTATACAATATACTCTCCAAATACTATCTATTTTCCACCAAACATTGTAAAAAAAAAAAACTCAATCGTATACTAAATTCAGTCAAAAGCATGAAACAGGGGAGGGAGAGTGGGAGACTCGAGCAGTTCCTTACCAGGAAGGCTTGAACTCGTTGAGCAGGGTCGACACGTTCTATCTTCTTGAGCAGTAGGGGAGGGAGACCCGAGCGGGCGGCGTGGCTGAGAAGGTGAGAAAAGGAGCGGCGGAGCGGAGCAGAGATCGGCGTCAATTGCCAGTCACTAGTTGTCAATCGCCAGAGCAGGGAACGGCAGAGCGGCGACCGTGGGTTCCCTCCTCTTTGCTTTCGCCGGTCGCACGTCGCGGGTCGCCAGTCGCGGATCACCGGTCGCAGGTCGCCACTCGCAGTCGCCACTTGCCATAGGAGAAGAGGAGGAGCGGCAGGCGGGGCTGGGGAAAGGAAATGATGAAAGGAAAGGGTACCCATATCATGTTTTTTGCGTTTTTGGTGACGTTTTTCCCTCAGTGAGCCTACCGTCAGATAGACCAAAGTCTTGTATCGATTAAGTCGGAAAACCAGCAACATGATATTCCGATGCCAACCAGCCTATCATATCGTTCTTTTTCCGGTTTCCGATTGAACCAATCAATACGATTCGGTTGAACCAACCAGTACGATCCAATTTCCTAGTCCATGCAAACTAGGCATGTCCCAATACCAAACGTGCTAACTTTGGAAAAGATCAAGAGACTCAATGCACACTTCTCGAATTTAATGAAACTGCTTTCTCAAATAAGGACTAATAATTATATTATTATTTGATCCGATTCTATCTAAATATGGATTTGACATGAGTCACAGAACGTGTTTTGTCATGCTGGCTCCACCTGTTATTGTGGGAGCGACGTAGCCGACTGTTCCGGATGGGCCGAAATCCGAATGGCCCAAATCTGCTCCGGTAGTCAATTTTGGACCGTCACGATATTTTATTGACGGAGGGCCGGAGGGGGAAGAGAGGAAGCGGATAGAAACTCACTTCACTTTCCCAATCCACCATTTTCCGCAAACTGTTCTTACTGCCCAGGCCGATGGAAGACGCGAAAGCGGCCATCTGCAGCCGTCTGCAATCGGCGAAGCTCAACTCCGGCAAGAGCTACAGCGAGATCGCGGAGGAAACGGGGCTCACCAACGTATACGTCGCTCAGCTGCTTCGGCGGCAGGCCCAGCTGAAGCCGGAGACGGCCCCGAAGCTAAAGGCGTCCCTGCCGGGGCTGTCGGGGGAACTCATCGACGAGATGATGAGGCCGCCGCTCAGGTCGTACAACCCTAATTTGATCCAGGAACCCACTGTATACAGGTTGGTTGGTCCCAGTTTTTCATTTTCTGGGGTTTTGGGAAATCGCAATTGAGAGGTCGGCTGTAATTGTTTGTTGGTGATGCTTAGGTTGAATGAAGCTGTTATGCACTTCGGTGAGAGCATTAAGGAGATCATCAATGAGGAATTCGGTGATGGCATGTGAGTTTTCTCGTTATCCTTCTTGCTCAATCAATGGATGCAATTGGGTTGTGTTTTCATATCTTGGCTTTCATTAGTTGAGTGGTCGATAAACAAACAGAGAAAAGATCCAAGCTTGCTTCCATGGTTGTTTGATTGGAAAATGGAACTGAGAGCATTTCTTTTGGGTTCCTCTCTGCAACTTTGCTTGGTTCCATCTCTATTTACTTACCATTGATCCAGTTGATTGCTCTGTTGTTGGGAACTCATTTGGGTTGTATGGAAATTGAGAACGGTGTGTGTGTGTGTGTGTTGTTGTTGTTGATGCCAGCATGTCAGCCATAGATTTCTACTGCTCAGTGGACAAGGTGAAAGGTGCGGATGGGAAAGATCGTGCTGTGGTGACATTTGATGGCAAATATTTGCCTTATACCGAGCAGGTTCGGCTTCTCTTCCCCCACTGCGCTTCATCTCTTTTACCCTTTCTCCACTCATCTCCTGTAGTCCAACCAAAGTGGAATGCGATCTTTCCATTGTTGCAGAAGTCGGAGGATATGGTATCTCGATCCAAGCTGCGGTGAAGTGGAGTTGTTCTTCAGTTGTGTTGCTGCATCTGTGAAATTAGCATCTTATGCTGCTATATGCGGGGTTCGGTGGTTTGTACACTGTTATTGGACACCGTGCTTGTACAATTGTACCCTAATAATGAAATTTGGAACTGAATTTTGGAAAGAATCATTGACGACATTGCTGGACATCACAGTAATCTGGACGTACAGCCGGCAGTTTGAGGGGGTAGTTGTCTATCTGACGGGACCTTAGGTGGTTCATATTTGAGACGACATTCGTACATTCTTAAGATCCACGAGTCTTGCCCGGGTTCGCTTCCACGCTTATGAATCTGGCAGAAACCCTAGCATTTTGAAACCTATATATTTCTTCTTGTTACAGATACATCAACAAATATCAGAGTGGCGCAGCGGAAGCGTGGTGGGCCCATAACCCACAGGTCCCTGGATCGAAACCAGGCTCTGATAGATTCATGTTTTAATTTTCCTTTTTGTCAATTTCTTTAATGGGCCGACTGATTCCAGTCCAGTCCCACGAATGTAGGCCCGCAAGGGGTTTATCCAGCCCAATAACGTCATACTCAGAATTTCCAGAATTCCATTATCCATCCCCCACCACAGACATTGTCGTCTTTTTTTTTTTTTTTGACAAAAGATAATCTTATAATGATAACAAAAAAAGATAGTTACATCCTGGAGAACAGCCAGGCCTGATAATTAAAAACACGACTCATAGTCGGGTACAAGGAGAGGGCTTTCCTAGCCACTACATGGGCTACCCTATTGTGACGCCGACCAACGAAACGAATACTAAACCCAGGGTTACTGCCAAAAAGATTCAACACTTCCTCCAATACAGCACCCATCCTGCTATCGCGCGAATCCCCACGATTGATTTTATCAATGATCACCTTCGCATCTCCTTCAAACCGAACCAAAACAAATCCTTGCTCCAAACACCAAAATATCGCCGCTCGCAGTGCCAACAACTCCACAACCGCTGGATCATCCATGACAGGGAAAGAGACCCCACTAGCCCTGAGGACAGCGTCATAGGGAGTCAAAATGACCATTCCTCCTGCCGCATGCGAACCCCTCCTAGTGGCCCCATCCCATCTACAGACAACTTCAAAAGCTCCAACCGACCCAGGACCTTGATCCCCTACCACCAGGGCCGGAGAGCCTTCCTCCACCGGAAGGCGCGCCCATTCCTCCACTTGTTGCGAAAATTGACGTAGAAGAGCCGGGAGACTAAACTGTTTGCCTTCAAACACAACCCAGTTCCGGGATTTCCAAATCCGCCAGAGGACAGCAAAAATTGCCATCCACTGCGAAGGTTGCGAGACCAAGGCCAACAGCTTCTTAAGGAAAAGCGGAAACGTGTGCCGCGGTAGACCCTCCCCAAAGTGTTCCAGACCCGCCGCCCCCCAGAGAGCTCGCGCAACCGGGCACTCCAAAAAAAGGTGTTCCAAAGTTTCAGTAGCCTCCCAACAAACCGGGCATCGAGGTAAGACTGGAATATGGCGACTAATCAGAGCTTCAGTGGTTGGTAAAATCCGATTGAAGATCTGCCAAGCAAACACCTTCAACTTTGGCGGGATATTAGCCTCCCACAGCCGTATCCAACTAGCCCTATCCATCCACTCTACCGTAGACTTCCATCGCCCCCTCCTTTTCTCCAACGTCACAGCCAGATGATAGGCCGATTTAACCGAGAACTCCCCATCTGCCGTATCAAACCAAATTAGTTATCCTCCACATTACCCTTTGAAAGCGGAATAGCTTTAATGAGACGGCACGTCCCCGGATCGAACCACTGACTAAGCTTTTCATCACACCACCTCCCCTCTCCTTGACAAATTAAATCCGCCACCGACGGGTCACCACACTCTGGCAAAATCAGAGGATTATAACGTATAGGCTCAAACTGAAAACCAGGGACCCAGGTAGAATGGAGCATAGAAACCGCACGCCCATTTCCAACCTGCCAGCGTAAACCCATCTCCAAAAGTTGCCGTCCAAACAAGATACTCTGCCAACCCCAAGATTGTCGAGATCTAGCTTTAGCCGATAGAAAATGTCCAGTCGGAAAATATTTTCCACGGTAGACTTGGGCCAGCAAGGAATTGGGCTCACTGAGAATACGCCACCCAATTTTAGCCAACAGCGCCTGGTTAAACTGCTCAAATCTGCGGAAACCCATCCCCCCATCATGCTTACTTCGACACATATCCCGCCAAAACATCCACCGTACCTTAGAGTGCCCTTCATTTTCACCCCACCAGAAGCGAGCAACATGCCTGTCTAACAAGCGGCATAAGGATAACGGGAGCTTGAAACAGGACATCACATGTAAAGGCAAAGCCAATGCAATAGATTTTATGAGAGTTTCTTTGGCTGCCCACGACAGCGTTCTCCGTTTCCATCCCTGAAGTCGCTCCAATAACTTGGTTTCCAAATACCGGAAGGTCTCCATTTTCGATCTTGCAATAAGCGTCGGGAGACCCAGATATTTATCATGGACTCCAACTGCACCCACCCCTAGGACTGCCGCCAGGAACTCTTGATCTTGTAGCAATATATTTTTACTGAAGCAAACCGCCGATTTGTCAAGGTTCACCTTTTGGCCACTCAATTCCTCATACTCATTAAGGACCTCAATAAGGTTCTCACATTCCTGCAGGTTACCTCGCGGGAATAAATAAGAATCATCAGCGAAGAATAAATGCGTCAGCCTGGGCGCCCGGGGAGCCACTCTAATCCCTGCGAGCCTTTTATCAGCTATCGCTTTACGAAGCAGAGCCGCAAACCCCTCAGCGCACAGCACAAAAAGGAGGGGAGACAGGGGATCCCCTTGGCGCAACCCTCTGGTCAGTGAAAAGAAACCCGACGGGGTACCATTCATCATTACTGAAAAAGACGCAGAACTGAGGCATTCTTTAATCCATCCTACCCAGGTGGAGCTAAAGCCCATTTTAGCCAAAACAGCAAGGAGGAAGGGCCACTCGACTCTATCATAGGCCTTTTCCATGTCAACCTTTAGAGCCATATACCCTTTCTTCCCCCGAGTTTTGGTTTTTAAGTAATGCATGAGCTCATGCCCGAGTAAGATATTATCCACTATCTGACGTTCCTTAATAAAACCATTCCGCCCTTCCGAAACCACCTGAGGAAGAATAACAGACAAGCGTTCTGCCAATATCTTGGTTATAATTTTATACACAAATTGGCATAAACTTATAGGGCGCAGTTGCCTCATTGTCTCCACATTATCCACTTTAGGAATTAAAGTGAGCCAAGTATGGTTAAAACTGCGAAGCAGCCGTCCCGAAGCAAAGAAAGAACAGACTGCATCAATTACCGACGGACCGACAATATCCCAGAAGGCCTTGAAGAATTTCCCAGTGAAACCGTCAGACCCCGGGGCTTGTTTCGATCCCATAGCAAATACTGTTCTACGAACTTCCTCCGGTAAAACTACCGCCGTTAACTCTGCATTCATATCTGGTGTGACACTTCGGGAAATGGGCAAGCTATGGACATTGTCGTCTTCTCGGCCTCCGTTTCCTGAGAAAAAATCAACAGAGGATGAGATAAGTTCGTTTCTCCTTTCCCGTCATCTACAAGCAGAAAAATAATGGCGACGACATCAGCAGCAGGAATGTTGTTGGGTAACAGAGTAGGAGAATCAAAATCAGAATTGATTTTGACCTTTGGAGTCAACTCTCGACATTTGAAGAAGGAGGAAACCAATATTGTCAAAATGCAGCGTTTTATTCCAAAGTGTTGCGTTTCACACTCCAACACTGTTTATCGTTTTCTTCTCTGCCAAGAATGTCTTTATTTCCTTTCTAAGCAAAAGAACAGAGAAGTGTACAAGCTGTTCTATGTTGTCTTGTTGTGATGTAAACAGACTATTTAAGCTACTTCTGAATGAGAAACAAGCAAGCCTTCTAGGGTTTCAAACCATCTTTCTACTTCTTTGTTATGGTATCAGAGCCCTAACAAAGCTCTGTTGCCGCCGCCACCATGGCTGATCAAACTCAAGACAATACTACTGCTACACAACACACAGATCATCAACCGAATGCCAATGCTACCACAGATCCGCTGCCTGCACCTCATTACCAGCTGGAGGATCCTTTCTACCTCCACGGATCTGAGCAACCTGGTCTTCTGTTGGTTGCTGAGAAACTCAACACGACCAACTACAATGACTGGAGTCGAGGCATGCTCAATGCCTTGGCTGCGAAGAACAAACTAGGGTTCATCCATGGTTCCATCCTCGAACCTGGAGAATCAGACCCACTCAGAGGCATTTGGATGCGGAACAACGTCATGATCCTGAGCTGGATCCAGCAAGCTGTTGAGCCAGAGATAAGAAAAACTATCCTGTCCAGCAAGACTGCTTTTGAAGCCTGGAGAAGCCTGCAATCCCGATATGGTGCTGGTGACATCATTCGCGTTGCAGAGATTGAGGAAGCCCTTTCCAACCTGAAACAAGGTAATGAAACAATCACTGAGTATTATGGTCGAGTCATCACTCTAAAGGATGAACTCGATAATTACCAACCACTTCTTGCTTGTGACTGTACACCCACAAGCCACAGAGATTGCAGAGCTATGAAGAGGGTTTATGAATACCATGACACCAATTATGTTATCAAGTTCTTGCGTGGTTTAAATGAGAATTTTTCGACTGTTAGATCACAAGTTTTGTTTGGTGATGAGCTGCCAACTATTAATCGTGTCTTTCAAAGAATGCTCCAACACGAAAGACAACTTTATGGTACTTAAAGGGGAAAAACTGTTACTACCGTTGCTTCTGATCCTACTGTCCTCAGTGCTCAAGGTCCTAATCGACGTCCTGGTTCAAACCCTAAGAGACCCTATTGTACTTATTGCAAAAGAGATGGCCATACAGAAGAGATTTGTTACCATAAACACGGCTGGCCCCCTGGGATGACCAGATCCACTCCTTCTACTCAGGGCAGAGTGCTTGAATGCACATACTGCAAACGACAAGGCCATACTGAGGACAGGTGTTATGCTAAGCATGGTTTTCCACCTCGCAATCAGGCTGTGCAGGGCAAAGGCAAGCAGTTTGCTAATTCTGTCTCTACTGATCAAGAAGAACATGAAGTTAAGCTCACAAAGGCAGACTATGATAAGCTAATGAGTCTCATGAATTCATCAAAGGGATCTGGCCCTTCCTTTACTGCTGCAGCCTACACTAAGTCATTTGCCAATTCAGGTAAATATCTTCTGTCAGTCCCTCTACATTCCAAAGCCTCCAA